TTTGACCTGTACCCAGGTCTTTATCAAGTCCCCAGTGTCCCCTATATATCACAGTGTCCCCTATGTATCAAAGTGTCTCAGTGCCCCATGTCTCCCAGTGTCTCCTCGTGTCTCGAAGTCACCCAGTGTCCTTATGTCTCCCAGTTTCCCCAAGAGTCTCAGTGTCCCCAGGTCTCCCACTCTTCCCTAGTATATCAGTGTCCCCATATCTCCCAGTGTCCCAATGTCTCTCAATGTCCCCTAGTGTCCTAGTGACATGGGGACACTGGGAGACATGGGGACACAGACACTACGGGACTGGAAGACATGGGGACACAGACATGCCCTCTTTTTATATATGTTCGCCCCTTTCGGCAGTTCTGGTTATGTGATTTGTGTCAGTGGCCCACACTTTTACCCCGTCCATAGACTTCCTGCTTTACTGGATACTGCTGTTAGGGGGTATGGGTTTACTTGAAAGATGAAAGCGTGAGATTAGCATAGGGTATGTGTTTTCTCATAGCTGCATCCTATGAGTTTCCCTCCAGCACCATCTCCATCAGATACATGACGCTTAGGAGGTAGGACTGTTTTAGTGTTTTTGGTCAATAAGATTCCGTACTTAGGCCCATCATAATTGTCAGCACCAGGCCCACTGTGCTCTTAATCTGGCCCTGCATTTAGCTTCTGCACAGCTGCAGAAGCCCGAAGCCGATAACCTCACTAACAAATTGCTGAGAGAGTCAGCCCTTCAATTCTGTGAAATTAAGGTTGCACAGAATTGACATGAGCCAGCCTAGAATTCTGGTTGGGCAGATTAATTGAGCTGTTGTCCGTTCTCACCTCTATTGCTACTTGTTTTTCTCTCCTTAAGGCTAAAGGGCAATCCAGACATGGACCCCTCCTCACGGTGCCTAGAGGGATATTGCCTGTACCTCACTGATGATACCTTACAAGGTTGAAATGATTGTCTGGGGTTGCTGTATCTCTCGTGCAGAGGGAACTTGCTGGCATTTCGGATCTGGACTGCCCTTATGAGTGGGACCAGTTTGATATGCTTCAGAAATGTTTTCTCTGTAATGGCACTAGTTGAGCTAAAACCAGCTTGAGAGGGGCATTTAAGGGGGGTGGGGGGGGGGGGCAAGAGGAGCTCAGGGGGGCTAGATGGTGGTTTTAACACTATAAACTCAGGAATACATGTTTGCTTTCCTGACCCTATAGCGTTCCTTTAAGGCTTGTCTATTCAGGACCAGTTCTAGAACTTGGAGGTGGGTTAAACACAAGTTATACACAAACATGGGCAAATATACACTCACACACACAGTTTTATAAGTATGGAATAAAACAGATGCACATAGATCCAGACACACATATAGACAGATACACACTCCTAGACACCTAATTGACACACACACAAAACATAGGGTAGACACATATTTCCCAAATTGGGAGGTACAGTCCAAGGCATTGGGGGGTATAGCAGTTAAAGGGATGTTATAACTCAGTTGATGTGTGAGTTACTAGCTACCCAACAAAGGATATGCATCTCAAGTTAGTTTTTTGTTTGAATGTTTTTGAATTTTTCCATCATTCCACAAAAAAGACAAAATCTAGACATTTTAATTAGGTTATTTCCAAGCATGATCTTTTGAAACAGATGTAGGGCAACTGGCATAATTTTACAACTGGCATAATCTTACACAATTTACTAAGTGTTATTCACTGAACCAGGAATTGACTAGGGAATTGCAATTCTAGTCCAAAATAATCAAAATGGAAATAATTCCAGCAAAGCTATTTTTTCAGCTCAGTGGCCTAAAATTCAGTATAGTTATTTTAGAAAGCGCCCCTTAGTGTGAAGATTTTAGCAATGACTCAGTTTTCCCAGATGCTCACACAATGGCCAATACACATTATCACCAAATAATAAGTAAATATATATTATTATTAGAGAAAGGGTGGGAGAGAAAATGCAGAAACAATATCAGAAAAGGTCAAAGGGCAGTAAAGAGAATGAACCCAACAGTGTATGGAGCAAAACAAGGGAAGACTAATACCCTGACCATAGAGTAGCAACAAAATTGATATAAAACTTAACCTTTATTATAATTCTTTAAAAAATAGTGAATGAGCAAAGTAGTGGTAAACAGTGTTCCAGTAACAACATGGACATAAAAACAAAGAGATAATTTAGCTCATTCTCATGTAACCAAATATTTACAGCTATAACAAGAGACAAGGATAACCAAACATGAAATTGTATACAATAATTCTAAGGAGGTGCAACTGTCTGGTTAGAGTAGATATAGAGACCAAGTCCCCAAAGAAGGATATACAGTCAGGGAGTAATACTGGCTCTATAGCAAGCTGTAGTGTAGAATTAGGAGACAGATTTGGCAAGTTTTGAGAAAAATCTTATTTCCCCAGCTGATATAATATAATATGGAAATAGTAACAAGACCTGCAGTAACAATGTTTCAGGCTTTTTAATCAATACAGAAGGAAAGGGGAACCTCAACTAGGTAGTGTTAGAGCAGGCACATCTAATTGCCAAAAAAAAGGCTCCTCTCTAATTACACCAACATGGTAATGAGTGTTCTCCCTTACCACTAACCCTTAGTGCCATTGTCAAGTGTTCCAAAAACTTGTAAAGTATACTCAAGTAAGAGCTTAGCAGAACTATACCTACAAGCAGCGCTGTAAAAATCCTTCTATTCTGTGCCTTCGAGGGCACCTGGACTGGAACCAAGCCAACACTAGCTATCTCTAATGCTAACAGTGCCTATATATTAATAAACTAACACACTATATGGCATATTTCTATAAAAGGGCACCTTTTAATGTGATTTTGTTATAAATGTATGTTGACTAAATTGTGAAATTCACTTGACCGTTTTTTTACAATTCACAGTTTAGGGAATAAACCTAATGTTTATATACAGTGGGTGTAGCGGAGCTCCCTGGATCCCAGCTAGGACCTCCGACAAGAACCGCTTCCTAGCTGGAACCGGGGGAAACCTCAGTGCTTCTGCTCCAGTCGCAGTGGCTTGACTGAGGTCGTCCTGGAACAGGATAGGGAACTAGCTCTATTTCTTCTCAGGGACTGGACAACACACAGTCCTAGGAGCTCTCAGACCTGGACCATAGTCGGTGGGCAGGAGGCCGGCTTCCACACTCCTCCAGGAGTCCATGGCAAACATTCGTGGGAAGGAGCGTTTGTCACAGTGGGTTGTTAATAAACCTCTCTGGAATTTATATAAGTGAATAAAACATTAGAAATCAACTATAACATTTTAAAGGACCACTATAGTGCCAGGAAAACATACTCGTTTTCCTGGCACTATAGTGCCCTAAGGGTGCCCCCACCCTCAGGGACCCCCTCCTGCCCAGCTCTGGAAGGGGGAAAGGGGTTTAAACTTACCTTTTTCCAGCGCTGGGCGGAGAGCTCTCCTCCTCCGATCCTCCTTCTCTCCTCCCCGTCGGCTGAATGCGCACGCGCGGCAAGAGCTGCGCGCGCATTCAGCCGGTCACATAGGAAAGCATTCATAATGCTTTCCTATGGACGCTGGCGTGCTCGCACTGTGAAAATCACAGTGAGAGGAACGCAAGCGCCTCTAGTGGCTGTCAGTGAGACAGCCACTACAGGAAATAGGGGAAGGCTTAACCTCTTCTGGAACTGCTATGTTTATGAAAAAAGTGGTTAACCCTAGCTGGACCTGGCACCCAGACCACTTCATTAAGCTGAAGTGGTCTGGGTGCCTAGAGTGGTCCTTTAACATTATGATGAGATGTCTTCTTTTACAGGTTGCAGGAGTGGCGATTTTACAGGTTACTTCATAATCCAATTTAGACAAGGCAAAACCAGGGCAAACGTTGAAAATGAAGAGAAGAAATAGAAACTTTTTTTTTTTTTTTTTTGTCCTCTGTCTGCTTTCTCTAAGCTGACTGCCCGGTGCAAGCACAGAGCAGTTTATGACAATGACTGGGGATTAAAGATGGAGGCGCCCGGTCGAGTGATAAAGAAGTGTGGATTTCTACATTTAATTTTCATACTCCTCAAATACATATTTGTTAAATATAGTTATAAGTAAAACTAATATAGAAAAAATCCTGCCACTTCTCTAAAATTACAGAATTAAAAAAAAACACTGAAAATAACCTATAATATGTTATGATAGGTACTTTTTTCAGGTAACACTGTTTCTTATGAAAAAGTATATAAAACAGTTCAATCCAGGCATAACGAGGGCACACTTTGTAATTAAGGAGATAATATTGGGAGGGGGGGGGGTTATAAAAATACACCCTTTTTAGACAGTTTTTATGGCAGTTTGATTATTTTACGCTCTGCCTTTATGTTTATGGAATAAAGAAAATCCTTTAAGTAAGGTTTCAACATTTTTCCAGAACTGGGAGACACCATCAGTAAAACAGTTATTCCAAAATTATCTCAATGCACCAGCTGGAGCTCCCTCGAGAATCCGGTTTGATCAGAACAATGGGGAGGAATTTAAAACAGGTTCTGATGGGAACTTTAATCGTAGTTAAGGAATTTTACGCCTCATTATGGACCCGAACCTACCTGACGTGATATGGCTGTCTTTCTTGAATTGAAACATTGATGTTATTGGCTTTTTCTCTGGCGTTATTTTGTGACTAGTCATCAGGACAAAAAAAGTTGCAAAAAAATATGAAAAAGAAATAAAAAGTGTCAGACAGATTAATTATTTTGGCACATTACCAAAATGACATTAAAAAAAAAAAAGTAATGTATAAACATAGAGTAAAAGTTTTATATGTATTAAAATAAATAAGTAAATTCACCCTGATGTTTATACTCTAAATTGTAGTGAATTAAAATCTGAATAGTAAAATTCAGGCTAAACTAGCCAGCAGCTGTGACTATAGTTTGTTTTCAATTCCCTGTTTAGTGGATATTTATTTATTTACATTTAGTGAATAAACCCTAACCAGCTGTATGCAGGAGTTTTGGTTTTCTGGATGACCTCCCACCGGCAGATGGCGCTGTTGCACTAGCCAACTTTGACATCACTACCGCCTCCCCCTCCCTTATGTGAACTCGTTGCGCGGAAATTCGGCCTCTTTCCGGCGGGGTATCCGAGACAGACTGGTTGGCGGCCATGAAGGTGAGCCGGCGCTAACGCTATTAAACATAACTTCGGGGCTGCTTTCTGTAGACAATATCGGCGGGGGCATGCGGGACAGAGTGTGAGGCAGGGACTGGAGCTATGTTAGCGAATCTCAGGGCCCCCCAGGTGCCGGATGGAGCCGGATTGCAAGGAGACTGCAGCCGGGACCTGGATTGGGAGACATGGCGGCGGCGGCCTGGGCTGTGGAACGTGCATGGGCTCGTGGCTGGGCTGTGTAATATGAGCACTGTATGGGGTTACAATGCTGCTTTCTCATTCACCGTAATGCAATTATAGCGAGGTGGGTCCATTGCTCTGCTATATGGTACCCTGTATGTAACTCTCTGTCACAGTGTATCTGGCTTCAGCACTGTGTGAGTTATAGCTTTGTATATCTGTGTATGTTACTCTATATGTAGTGTGTGTCAGTCTGCTATAGGCTTAGTGTATGTTATATACACACCTTCCAATGCTTGGTTTTTAATATGAAGCATTCCTTTAGCACAACTTAGTTTCATGTCCATTTTATTGTTGTGGTGTTTGTACAGGGTGCACCATAAGTCCTTACCTTATGTTATGTATCCAGTGTATCTGTCTGCTGGATGGGTAGGGACTTATGGTCCACTCTGTAGATGATGATGATTAATGTTAATGACTGCTATATACATTGGTCTGAAGCTATGGGGTTTAACTTTTTACTGTCTATGAAATTATGTACATTTAACATCAAAACAAAGGGATTTTTTTTTTCCTGTTGGGAAAGAATGACTGTGTAACTGTGACTTGTAGTATGATACTTTTGCGCATATTATATAGTTCTTGTTTTTTTTTCACTGCTACTTCCAGCTCAATATCTCTTTCCCAGCCACTGGCTGCCAGAGGCTCATTGAAGTTGATGATGAGCGCAAGCTACGTACTTTCTATGAAAAGCGTATGGCCACGGAGGTTTCCGCTGATCCTTTGGGCGAAGAATGGAAGGTAAGATGCTGCTTCACATATAGGCTTTTTCTTGGTATACATTTATCTCTAATATATGTATGTGTGTGTGTGTACATACCAAGAGTTGTCGTTGGGGGAAATGTGGATTAAAATCCCTTGCACCTGAAGTGGATAGTTAATGCATTGCTAAACACAAATACACACACCAGTCAAGCCATAAAACTTGCTTTGCCCACAGAAATCTCACTTTAACAGTTCTCACTACTGCAAGGGATTCTGGGTCTGTGTGTGTGTGTGTATATGTATGTATGTATATGTGTATATATATATATATATATATGTGTGTTTGTGTGTATAAATATTTCTGCTGCCAAATACCATTTTCTTTCTCTCTTTACGGAATTTGTTTTCTAAAATCTGAATTGTCATGCATTCAAATATTGAATTCAGACATTTAACACTTGTGTGGGGAGGGTGGACACACTCTTCACATATAGAGCATTTCAGCAAGCTAAAGTGCTTTACTGGTTTGGAGTGTTCCTTTAAGTGAAACATGCAATAGTCTTTTTAGTGTTGGTCCTTCAGGTTTTAGCAACAATTGTGTGCCACTAAAGCGTGATGTCATCTTAAAGGGACTGCATTTTAGTAGATATGGTGCCAGTTGCCAGTGATATGTCTAAGTATTTACACACAGTTTGACAGTTACTGTGCTGAGCACTCTCCTTACTTCCAGTCTGAATTGGTCTCACAAAGTGAAAGTTCAAACTCTTGCATTTTACCAACTCTTACCAGGTTTAAACACTATTCATTAAGTGAGTGTTAGCAGACGGATTTTATTTCTCATATTTTGACCTCTGCGTCTTTATTGATTCTGGGATTAATCGTAAATGATCAAATTGGGGACTGGCGCAAGTAGTTACTCTGTGCATAATCACAGTCTAATGGTAGCTTCCCCCCACCGCCAATATTTTGTGCATAGACTCTCTAGTGTTTCAGCTCATTTATTGGCTAGATTTGTTAATCCTTCATAATGTTAGACTGAATTGAAGAATTTTGCATTCTATTCACCTACAGGGATATGTTGTACGTATCAGCGGTGGTAACGATAAGCAGGGCTTCCCAATGAAACAGGGAGTGCTCACCCATGGCCGTGTGCGTCTTCTTTTGAGCAAGGGACACTCCTGCTACCGCCCCAGGAGAACTGGAGAACGCAAGCGCAAGTCTGTGCGTGGCTGCATTGTTGATGCGAACTTGAGTGTGTTGAACTTGGTTATTGTCAGAAAAGGTGAGAATTCTAATCTTTCATTAAACAAAGATTGTATTTTAAATTGCCGCTACAACTGTGAAATCTGATTATCTGACCCCGACTATGAATTCTCTACTTGCAATCATATGCTAGATGTAATATGACAAATACATTTTCCACTTATGAGGAAATGGTCACTTTTCTGCTGTTGAAAAGAAAAAAATCAAGGTTAACAAAAGATGAACATCTATACAATTCATTATTGACTTTTAGTTAAGTGGTTTGTAGAAATAACCATATTCTGTTAGATGTTTTTGATTTCAGTCTGCTGGTAATTGTAGGCTCTGCAAATTATTCCCCATATCAAACATTTTACTTTTATCTACAACACTTACATTTAGTAGCTCCAAGATTCATGTTGGTTACTGTTTATCCTTTCTTTGTGTGTTTTTTAGGTGAGAAAGACATCCCTGGCCTTACAGACAAAACAGTTCCTCGTCGTTTAGGTCCCAAAAGGGCCAGCAGGATCCGCAAGCTCTTCAATCTCTCAAAAGAAGATGATGTTCGTCAGTATGTGGTTAGAAAACCACTGAACAAGGATGGTATGTTGTGGGATACTGTGAGCGAATTCAGAAAATGTTTTTTTGTTTGTTTGTTTCATGTGTTTTTACTCAAGTCATGTAAATAGTAGCTATAATAAAGATAAACAAAATACCCAAGGAAAACTTTAAACACATTTGAAAGTGTAATCATTTTAAAAATCGGACTGTTAGAGAAACACTCAGAACACATAGCATTTCATCAAAATCTACACTTCTATTAACAAGCCCTATCACATTTTAATCAGACATTTGAGGTGTTCTACATAGTTTAGCTATTTGAACCTAAACGGTCTCCCCATTTTGATTTTATTACAATTTATTTTTTTTAGTGGTGACTTGCAAACTTTTTTAAACATGTTGGCTGATGCCATACATTTTTGTATCTTGCTGTGCAATAGTCAATAAGTGTTCATTTTCTACAGGGAAGAAGCCCAGGACCAAGGCCCCCAAGATCCAACGTCTTGTAACCCCTAGAGTTCTGCAGCACAAGCGCAGACGCATTGCTCTGAAGAAGCAGCGTACACAGAAGAACAAGGAGGAAGCATCGGAGTATGCCAAACTCTTGGCTAAAAGAACAAAGGTATTTTCTTTTTAAAAGGAAATGTTAAATATCTGAGTGCAATCCTCTTGCCGAATTATGCACCAGAAATGTTATGTTTTATGATGCCAGACCATGTCCCCGTAAGGTCCAAAATTTAACAATGTGAAAAATAAGACACACAGGTAACACATTTATGTTGAGTATTAAAATGAGTTTTTCACCTCTTGATGAATAGTTTCATTATGCTGCCCAATCTCATAAAACTGCTTCTCCTTTACACATTGCAAGCTTTCTTCCAATTTTTATTGGAGAAAATAATTCTCAACCTTTGTTAAAGGGATAATTGCATCATAACCGCTACAGCCCGCTGTAGTGGTTATAATATGAGTACACTGACCCCATTTCAGGGGATGGAGGGGGTGGCGCAGCTTTTCATTCATCTAAAAAGCTTTAGTGAACTGGAGTGTTCCTTCAGTGATTAATAAAACAAAAATACAGCCTTAAGGCCATTTCAAGCCCCAATTAATTTTTTTTTTTTCGTTAACAGTGCATACATTTGCATTACAGGGGTTTACATTGTAGACTAGTACAACGAAGTTAACAATATAATCTTTTAACAGGAATATGGTGTTAGGAGGTGTAACCATCAGGTAGTATGTAGCTTTGTTGTGACAAAGGGTCTCATGTGGCAGGTTGTTTCCGTGAGCCGACAATTCGGTTCGGGTTTCTGGTTCTGTGTAAACCTGACAGCTGTGTGGGTGTACCCTTGTGTGGAAGGGTCTTTTAGTGGCATATCTTTCCTATTCGGGTGATGGGTATTAGTGGGTCAAGGATGGGCAAGTGTGAAGATCATTGGGACCATCCAGTTCCCCAGGGGTAAGCCCCGGATGGTCCCCACATTCCAGGATAAGGGGTAGGAGGGGAGAGTGTCGGGGCCTCCGCAAATCCTCACCGACGACCTGGGGGAGGGGTGGATTAGTGAGGAGAGGCTACCATGGCAACGAGGTGTCTCCCTCAATGCACAGGTCCCATGTTTTGTGAAATTTAGCAGGGGTGTCTCATATCTGTGAGGTTAATCTGCCCATTTGAAGTCTCTTGTATTTTATGGTATATGCTTTGTAGGTGAGGTATGTGTGGTCCCCAGAGTTCAGCTATAGCTTTGCAGGTTGCCAGGGCTATTTTGGCCACCGGCTTGTTTTTAGGACGTGTGAAGGTACTGTGGGGTTTTGATTAGAGTAGTGCCTGTGGGTCCTTTGGAAAGGGTCTTTGAAGCAACCTGGTGAGGAGGGATGTGGTGCTGGTCCAAGTGGGTTGTTAGTTTGGGGCAGGACCACCAGCAATGCAGGAAAGTGCTGACCTTACTGCATTGTTAAGCCCAAAGTCATTTTAAGTGTGAATTGTTTTGTTTTTTACCTTTCCCCTTGATAAAGGGTGTGGAACAAGTGAAACACAAAGCAGTTTTTTGTATGAGCTGCAACAGTTATGCTATACCAGTCAGTAACCTTGTTTAAAAATAACCAATAATGGAGAACAGTTTCAATGTATTTGGTATAAGAAGCCTAGACTCTTTCTGCCCTTGTGTGTAATGTGCTTGAGTTTACCCCGTATGACATTGGTTATATGTAGAGTATATACAGTTGAGTAAGAGGAATTTGTATTCATGTATTATACATTATATTGTATGAATATTACATTTGAGATGGTGTCTGTTCCCTCTATACCTTTTGGTATACAGTTATTTACTAAAGAGTGAATTGCAATAGATTGAAAATGAAAATAGTCGACTTACAGGAGCACTTGTCGCCAAAACAACTGCAGTGTAATGAAGCAGTTTTAGTGTATAGATCATTTCCATACAGTCTCACTACTCCATTTCCCACCATTTAGGAGTTTGATCACTTTGTTTTGGAAGCGCTAGGCACACCTCCCCGCATGTGACTTGCAAAGACTTCCTGTAAAGTCATCTGATGTTTATACTTCCTTATTGCAAATTCTGTTAAATTTACAATTTCTCATGCTCTGTTAATATTTTGCTAGACCCTGCAGAAGCAGGTGATAAACACATTTTAAGCTATCTGAAAGTGAAATTTATATGCAGGCTGTTTCAGTCATAGCCAGGGGAGGTACAAAATACACAATCCAGCGCACTCTCATTTACTAAACAATGATTTCAAATCTCACAGATTTGAATAGTTTTATTTAAAAACACCTCACCTAGGCAAAAATAATGGGGGTTTAGTTACTTTGCATAAGCCTGCCACAACGTCAAAGGGGAGGTGTGACTAAGGCTGCATAAACAAAAGTGACTTAGTCACCTAAATTACTTTAGCTAAATAAAGCAGTTTTAGTGTATAGATCATTCCCCTGCAATTTCACTGCTCAATTCCCTGTCCTTTGAGTTAAATCACTTTGTTTCTGTTTATGCCGCCTTAGCCACACTTCCTCTGGCTAAAAATTGGCGCCAAAATAGTTCAACCAATTAGAATGGGGTAAAAATTGACTATTTTATACTATAAAAGTGGTTATGGTACCAGAGAGACAGGGGCAAGCATATGCACGTCCATCCATGTCAGCATTGGCAGCCAGCAATAGCCAGGATGGGTATGCCCAGATGCAAATGGGTGCAGGATTGTTACCCTAGTAGTCATAGTTACTGACAAATAATTGATGAAAAATATCAGCTATTAAAAGACTCTAAGAATCTCTAGAATCACAAGCTGTGCCTCATGTGTTTTTTGTGTAAAAAAAAAAAAAAAAGCTTTTTTGAATGTATCGAATTTATAAAAAAAAAAAAAATGCTGACGTCTTACAATTTTGTGGACAAATATCCCCACCAGAGAATGAGGATTTATGCCCCCTTCATAGCCAAAGGTAGTCGGGAGAGGGTAACAATCATTTTTAGATCAAGTTTATTTCTGTTTAGAAACACTACTACAGCGTCCACACAAAACACTACTTAGAAGCCCCTACCACTTACCTAAATACTAAAAACACAACGTGTGTGTGTCTATCTCAATCAATCACTGTGGAAACTAATGCAATTTGCACTTGCCATATATTCATTTTGAAGTTCTACCTTTTTGCCATGTTCGGTCTACTAATTCTGTTAACTGTTCTGGTTTTCATTTTAAGGAAGCTAAGGAGAAACGCCAGGAGCAGATTGCCAAGAGACGTAGACTGTCTTCACTTAGAGCCTCCACATCCAAATCTGAATCCAGCCAGAAGTAAAGCCACATGGTGTAAAAAGATAAATAAATCTTGTAAACTATTCATTGTTTTTTGGTGTGGTGTTTTTTTGTTTTTTCTTTAAGTCTATCTTTATGGGGAAAAAATTGCAGAAATTACTCATTACTTGCTGATATGGTGTGCATCACAGAGTAATAGCTGAATGGTACATATTAAAATGTGATTTTGAGTTTAAACTCTTGAATGTAAAATAAAGTGTCATACTTGTGCCTGTTTTAATGAAGATCTAGAACACAAATATATTTTCTCATGGACTCTAAATATGCTGGGCAGTCTCAGTGGGAATGCTTATGTCCCAAAACATATTCAGATTCCATAATACGGCAAATGTTATACCCAGCTGAAAACATTACTTTGCAACTTTTTTTTTTTTTTTTTTTTGTAGGGGTTATGGTAAAATTAATTACCAGGAGTAGTAAAAGAACTTTAAAATAAATAAATGAGTTCAAAAATCACTCCTGTCTAATAAAGCAGCGTTAATGCTGAAAGTATTTTCCACCACGAAGGGGTTTTATTTATTTATTTAAGGAGACTTGGGGACTAGCAGTTAAGGCATTCCAACACTTGCTGACAATTGGCTGTTCTGCATAGATATTTGTCCCTCCACCTCCCTTGTACCTCTGATATCTGAGGCTTTTGCTATCTGCTGTTCTAAAGGGGAAAATAATACTTTCAGCATTAACACTGCTTTATTAGATATAAGTGACTTTTTAAACTCCTTTATTTTGAAGCTCATTTACTACATACGGTAATTTTTTTTATCATAATGCCTTTATTCAGGCTATAGCCTATTTGCCCTATTGTCTCTTGCACTCTTTATGACAATTACTTAGATCACTAAGTGAACTTTCCCTTTACCAATACTGTTCATCTGGACCTTACAGCCACTATTGGGGTTTATTTAGCCCCCTTGAGTCTAGCTGCATATTGAGACCGTTAAACAAGGATTAGGACGTGGTTGTAATATAACCATATTTGCTTTCCAGCTTCATTTCAGTTTGTATTTTCTGGTTTTACACAGTATTTTCCTACTAGATAGAATTTGTACTTATAGCTGCAGTAATTTTTCACTACTGCCCCACAAGGCTCATTTCTAAGCTAGTTATTATAGCTGTCAATTTGTAATGTTTTCCCTTCTTTAAATATCAGTATTCAGCCCTCCCACCTTGATTGGGGTGTATGCGTTTGTTTTTTTGCCTAAATGTATGGGGGTTTTTTTTTGTTTTTGTTTTTTTTCCTTTTGGGTCCAAGCCCGCTTAGTGGATCTGGTACCCCCACACTGACCTCTATCTTCCTATCCCAATTAATTTGGATTAGGCCACATAGCCTCTCCTCTGCTTTCTACTAACCTTTTAACACTTAACCGATACCCTTGTCAGTCTTCCTCAACATCCTCTGGGTGGTGAACCCTAATGTGCATGCATTGTAAGAGCATTAGGCCCTCCCCATAGGAAAACTTTCCTTCAATGCTTTCTTATCAGGATTTCACTAATGCTGGATGTCCTCATGCAGAGCGTGAGGACATCTAGCGTCAGGCAACCAAAAGTTGCTTAACCACCAGGAATTGCAGGACTAACCGGGACATTGCACTTAGACCACCTTAAAGGGAAACTCCAGTGCCAGGAAGCCCCCCCCCCCCTCTGTCAATCCCCGGTTGCTGAAGGGATGAAAACCCCTTCAGTAACTTACCTGAGGCAGCGACGATGTCCCACGTTGCTGCTTCTCCCTCCACGCCGCTCCTCTTTCTGACTGCGTCGGCATGCGCATTAGTGCTCCCCATAGGAAAGCATAGCTTGGTAGTCCAGTGCTGGCTGAGCTCATGGTTCGGTGGTGATTTTCACTGTTTGCTCACTCCGCTGATACTTTGCATTGTAAGCTCTCCCATGCGGTTCTGGGGCACACTTAGTGAGTCAGAGCTCAGCTGTAGGGATTCCCTACCTAAGGTAGTCGGGAGAGGGTAACAATCATTTTTAGATCAAGTTTATTTCTGTTTAGAAACACTACTACAGCGTCCACACAAAACACTACTTAGAAGTCAGTGTGCTCTTGTTGCCATGGTGCTCTGTACTGTAATTTCCACAGCATCTTTTGCTCGTAATTAGCTGAATTTTGGAGAATATACATTAAAAGAACACAAACCTGTATTCCTGACCCTATAGTGTTAAAACCATAATCTAGCCCCACTTTCCCTCTTAAATATAAAAATATAAGCCAGGAACGTTTAGCATGAATGTTTAGCACAATAGTAGTCCTTATTTAGAATTTGCCACAGGGACCGGCCAGGATGGATATGGATACTTTGTGTCACAAAAGTTTCTTCTGGCTGGCGGCTTGTCAGTGAGGTTAGCGTGCGTCTCAGACCTCACTCTGAGAGATGCACACTGCAGTTCCTGGCTTATATTTTTGTATTTTAATCAGTTTATATACTTATTTTTTACTATCCTTCATTAATAAACTTTGTTACATTATCCTTAAGATTTATCTTTTATACAAGTGGTTACTTGTAAAGCGATACTTTACTCTATTGCATTATAGGAACAGTCCCCAATACTGCATTCCTATTATATATGGTTTACATCTTTCCCTATAAAGTACACTATTTTGGTGTATACTATATTTTGTCTGTTTTTTAACAGATTTAAAGACATGCACCATATATGGTTATATTGCACTATAAAATAAAGAGACTTATCATATCTCTATATATAATTTTATATACCTTTTTTTTTATCATTAGAGAGAACAGTTCCATATACTGTTTCCCCGTTTTATATCTTTATTTGTAAAGTATAACACTTAGTGTATACTCCATTTATCCTGCCTGTAGCAGATTTAAAGGTGTACACACCACACAATATTGCTGCATTTTTTTTTGAAATATTGGAGTTCATTTTAGTTTATTTTTTTTAATTACACTTTAATTTTTAAATCCAATTTTATTAGGTGTTATTTCACCACAATCCATCTTAGGTGGAACAGCTCCTGGAATATTCATACCAACCTAGGTTATTTTTTCATATTTCTCTAAGACAGGTTTTTGGTGAACTCCTCTGTTTATCCAGTTTTGAGCAATTCATCACAAGTCAGACCTCTCATTCCTGTGTTGCAATAGGCATACCAGACCATTTCATGAGCAGGAATTAATGTTTGTAAAAAGTATGTGTGATGTTTGCAACCAATGAGTACATTGTATTTAACTATATATTATATTATGTTGGTCAGTCTCATAACTGTCACAAAGAGACATGGGATCCCGTTTTGCAAGTATCAGTTTGCATTTCAATCCTCAATCACGACACATATGGTGATTCAAGCACTGTCACCATGCATCCCATTCCTTTCAAAAGAAATCTTTCTTACTTCTTTAATATGACTTCAGCTTAAAGACTTTAGCACATGGTGGCCAACAGTGATAAAAACTACATGGTTCTTTATTATTCCAGGGTGTTCAATGGAAAAAAACAAAAACTGTGACTAGTGCTCCTCTAAGGCAATGGCTTACGCTGCTATAGGGAGTGAAGTTCATATCAGCATAAAGGATCACTCTACTAGGGATGTGTCTACTGTAAGGGCAGCAGATGATACCTTCATGAAGCATTAGCACCTGGATGTTCAAACTCATACAGACTTATTCATTAAAGTGAGAAATCAAAGTGAAGTTTAAATTTAAGGCCAAACTAGCTAAACAGGAAGCGCAGCTGAATTAGTGTTTTTTTTTAACAGTTCAGCAATTTTGATTTGAAAGTTGAATCCACTTTGAATTGTCACTTCAGTGAATAACCCTGCAACTAATGGATACTTTGGCAGGAGAGTCTAGTCTGTTTATAAGCATTAAATGTTTTGTAGACATGTATTCCTCCCTTTTTGCTGTGGTAGATTCTGCCATAGTAAATCAGGAAAACAGAAAATGTATTCCAGTTTGCTGCAGTTTTTCTTTTAACATCACAGATTCCCTTCTGGTTTGACAGTTTTTGGAGAATCTGTAATATTACTTGTGTAATTTATTCGACTCCAGTCCTGATTGTTTAAGTCTAGGTTAATACCTACATGTGATGCCTTCGTGGGAAAGACCATTGAAGACATTAGCAGACACACTGTCAGTCTTTTTGTAAAAAAATTCCACAGCTTTATTAGACATTCACAGATTTGTGGATCCAAGATATCAGTGCCATATCAAAGTAGATAATAAGCCAACGTGTTTTGTATTAAAACCTTGTGTTATCGTGACGTAGCCAGGAAAATATAATTATGTGAAGTTGGAATTAAAGGGACACTATAGTCACAGAACAGCTACAGCTTAATGTAGTTATGAGTATAGTCTGTCCCAGCAGGCCCTTTAAGTCAACACTGCCTTTTCAGAAAAAGGCATTGTTTACATGGCTGCCTAGCAACACCTCCAGTGGCAGTCACTCAGACTGTGCTGCACGGATGTTCAGCGTCTCCACCATCTGCATGGAGACGCTGTACTTTCCCTATAGAGTTGCAGTGATTCAATGCATCTCTATGGGGAGATTCTGATTGCCACATCGCATGTGCGATAGCCTCCCAATGCTTTCCTGACCTTCTTAGTGTTAGTTTAATGTCATGTAACAGGCATTATATTTGTCAGTTATTTTTTTTCCTGCTACAAGAAAACATGGATTTGAGGGCAAGGTTGTGAGAACAGAAATGAGAAGAAAACCACTGAGCTCTTTTGCAGTGTGGCTGACTACATGCCACGCTTAGGCATTAAGACTAGAGCTGGACACTGAATCTAGTCAGTAACCAGATAATCTACTGATAAGAAAACTCTAAAAGCAACTCCTGCCTGTAAAATGCAAACCTCTGGATATAATAAAAGTAAAATTATAGACACATTTATTCTTTTTCTTTTTTTAATAATTTTCCCTAGAAACACAATGAAGTCACTTCTAAACTGTTTATGTATCTATACAAAATATTTGTCAAAACGTTAAATCTTAGAAATTGAGGACAGTTTTTTAAATTTACAAAAACATTTCTTCAATCTAAAAGCACAGAGAAAGCTAGAATAAAGTTTAACAAAGTGCAAAACAGACAACTGCATTACTCCTAATTCATGTGTACAGATTCCATCCTCATCTTATGTGTATATAATGTAATGTATGTGTGTGAATAAAAGATATATATATATCCATCTAAACAGATATATACATAGCTCTTTTATTTTTTTTAATAATAATAAAGCAATGCTTTTGCTGCAAATATTCCCAAAAGTAGTGCCCAATTGAATTTTTATAAGAGTGAGTTGAAATAGCACCTGGGTGTTTAGATTGTTGTCAGTAATACGTACATGCTGACTAAGGCATTTATCTAGAATCTCACCTCTTTAGGCGACACACTCCATTAATGAGAACTGTCACTTCTCTGGAAATTATACCATAGAATTAATGAAAATAAATCACCTATAAATTGTAGTAACCTTTATTTCATGTAATGCTACGCTTACTTTTAAATCTATATTAAAGATTCTGTAAATTAAATGAACACTATAGAGTCAGGAATACAAACATGTGGCTCTTTAGGCGACCATCCCTGCTCCGATCGGCATGAAAAAGTGATTTTATTCACCTTTTTCCCCATACGACGCCGGTCTCGCTTCGGTTGGCCCCGCCTCCATTCTTGATAATCTCAGCCAATTCAATGCTTTCTCTGTTGAATGTCTGGACTAGGAAGCACCTCTAGTGGCCATCTGAGTGACTGCCACTAGAGGTGTTATTAGGGAGCAATGTAAATACTGCCTTTGAAAGTATCCCCTTAAATCACTATCCAGTTCAGACAAGGCAAAGCCAGGGCACACATTGCAAATAAGGAGGAGAATAGAAACAATGTTTAACTTCTCCAATTCTCTATTAGGTACAAAGAACAGAGCTTGCAACATTGATTGACATGGAGCTACGGTGGAGGTGCCCATTTGCAGAATAAAGTTGTGTGGATTTCTAAATTTTATTTTATTTTTAAGTATTAAGAATACATATATAGAATATTAAGAATCCTGGGAAGTGACAGTTCCCCTAAGTTTGTTAACAGCTAAAATTGGAGTAATGGGCATGAATTGGTTCTTTGTCTCGCAAAGAAGGGCATTGTAAAGCAGTACATTACTGAAAGATCATGAAACATTTGTAGAATGGTGAACACAGCAAACATTGGTTTGAGAAGGCACTAGAGTTCAAAGAGTCCAGCAAATGATTCTATTCCTGGATACACACTGGAGCAGCAGAAAGATTATTGAAACATTAAAAACATTGCACATTGTAAACAATTACAGCACTGTAAAACTGGTACAAACAAGTGACTAGAAGACTGAATGACACTATGCCTAAACCAACACATTGGAACATGGAACAAGGTTAACCTCTCATCGTTGTGCTATTATGAGTAATTATTGTTAGCTTGTGAAAGGAACAAACTGTCTATTTAGATGTTGTATACATATTGTAGAGAAATATAGATACATATGTTTTAGATTATACATAATTTCTGGTTACATAACATGAAACTTTGTCTACGGTGAGCAAACTGGAATACAAGATAATATACCCTTAGAGTTCATTGATCTAATAACACCTAGTTTATAGTATGTAGCCATACTGAACGCGCTAGATCATTGTACATAACACTAGATCAGTGGTTCCCAATTAAATACTTAAGTAATTAACCACACCAACAGTACAGATTCTGCTTGTATACCCATTGATACAGAGGTGCCAAAATCCTAGACTGTTCATAGGCCTTAAGGTCAGAGTTGAGAACCACTGCTCTAGAACAGAATAGTAAGGATACTGAATAAAAAGGGTAATAAGACATCTCAGATGTATTGATTAAGAAGTATAAATGGACAGAGTACACTGCACAGACTGCAGAAAAGATAACTAGAGGGAAACAAATTACTTCCCTTTAAAGTTGTCAGATTCACTGCACTTACAGTCTATACAAAAAATGCGTTTTGTTGCATGCAATTCGAATGACGAAATGTTTAATTTGTCAGCTAAATTATTAATCAAAAAAATCACTCCAATAATTACAAGGTAGAATGAGGTGATCCTATGAATATGTAAAAAATATATATAAACACGTTGTCAGACTGCACTCCTAAGGACGGAGTTTTTATTATGAGAATCCAGTAGAGACTGCTTTGGACTTGAGAAAACAGATTTGTGATTAATGGAGTGTCAACAAAAATACATAAAACCATTACATATATAACAAATTGAAGTCATGTTTTTGTTTTTAAATAATTTGTTATAAAAATACATTTTACTATAGGAATTTTCAGACTAGTTATTTAACATGAAAAGTCAATATTGCTTTGTTTGTGTGAGAAATAGTATAATAATAATGCGTCCAATTCCTCCACATGATAGGATTTTACATAAGAAGGCTAAATGGTAAAGGCAATGAGTGAACAGGGAATATGCTGCTATTTTGGACACAAAGATGGTAAAGTATTGGAAGTATTATAATCTACACTTTATGCAATGAGAGAACTTCATTTACAATTGACCGGTGCTTCTCAGGACATTGATAATTAACTGGTGCAGTGCAATTACCAGTTTAAAATGACAGAATGAAATGGTCCTCTTTGTAATCCATTATTATATCCAAGTACAGTGACCATGCACACGTCTGAAGCTAGTTAACAACTAAAATTAAAGGACTCCCCACCATAATTGATAGATGTTCTATGTAACAAGGAAAGGTTCATAGTCCAGTTCTGCACAGGCTAACTGTAAACGAGGAGGCAGAATAGGATGGTATTAACCCGATAACTCTCCTAAATGAGACTTAAACATTGATTTGATACAATTTTGGAAAAAGGCAATATTGGTGAATGAATATATACATTGACTGATAACCAATGCTGAAGGGGAAACACAAAATAAATACCATTGTACCATCTATAATTTATAGAGCAAAAATCTACTACATATTTTTTCTAATAATGCCATATGGAAAAGCCATGCATGTGGATTTAAAATATATTGCTTTCTAGATAAGGGACTAAACCTCCAGACCAGTAAGGTCCATCAATGGTCAAGCATACACTTAGGGCATTTCATGCAAAGTAAACAAATTACAAAATATTTGGTGCAAAATCAGCTTTGTTTAAAGGCTAAATCATGCCATTCCAATTATTGGTCACATAATTGTTTGGAAAGAATAATGTAATTTGACTGTGATATTTAGCAAAATTGTAACCAAGAAACAAAATAGAAATAATTATAAAAAAAATGAACTTGCTCCTGGTGCCTTTCTCATTTTCTATAAAGCTGATGTCTAACTGTATCTGGCGGGTAGAGGACGCCTAAACATTTTATTGAAAATAGTGAAATGTTCTTTTTGCTTGAATCTCGCAATGGACACTAACCAGTTTAGAGAAAAATGGCCAGAATCACTAAGGGTACATTTACTAAACCGTGAGCTGACGACTCAATCGCCAATATTAGGCAATGGATATGGGATAAAAACAGAGCAAAAATATCCAGTTCTCCTGAGCTTTAAATATTATTCCACTATGACTAACTGGCAAACTGGTTGTCAGATCGCCACAAATTAATGTTTAATTAGTAAACACCTAGGTCAGGGGTAGGAAACCTTCAGCACTCCAGATGTTCAGGGGTAGGCAACCTTCAGCACTCCAGATGTTCAGCACTCCCATAATGCCCTTACAGCCATAATCCTGTTAAAGTATCAGGAGTGATGTAATCCACAACAGAGTGCCTAAGGTTGCCTTCACCTGATCTAGGTAGCTAAACGTTAGCGAGTTAGGTTTTGTGGTTCACGCTTAACCAACTTATTAATCAAGAGAGCCAAAAATGACTACTTGCATCAAGACCATTTGAAGAGGTTACCAATGAAAATCAGTTGGCAGAAAAGCATACATGAAAAGTACCAGGAACAAGGTCACATATTGAAATAATTAATTTATCTTAATCTTTTAACAAAAAAAGCAAATCAAACAAATGCAAGTAGTTTGTCATTCTCAGTTATTTAGACATATTACCCCAAAATGATGTAGTGGCTTGTAAGCAACAGTAATTTGAAGTTTGTCAATCTAAGAATAAAGAATGATTTATGTAGTGTATGTTAGTGGTGTGTTATGGTTAAGACAATGAGCTCACAAGGCCCCCTTACATTATGTATGCCTGTGTAGGGCAGCAGTAGGTATATGCACAATTAAGTGTTTCAAAGACTTCAACAGTGCTGTGCGGCACTGGGAGTATAGAAATGGCCCAATGCTTGAAGTGAACTGCTGTTCATTTATAATGCAGGCAGTAATTATTTTAGATGGGCAATGCTATTCTTCTAAGATGAAGCAGAGCAGAGTTAAAATGTTTTTTATATATATATATATATATATATATATATAAATCAAATTAATTGGTGCATTTTGCTGGATATGTGTACAAGCAGCTTGTGGGACTGAAAATACACCTCTATGTGTTAATAAGAAATTATTTAAAATGCAGAACTTCATTAGCAAGGGACTGGAAGTGTCTTTGAATGTCTCACAGGGCCAGATGTAATTAAAACCAGCAATAATAGCCCTCTGAGCTTATGTTAGGCTGCATGCTGTATGATTCTGCAGATAACATGAACATCAATAGAGATCCAACACAACAACTTCTACAGGACACACAGACAGCTACCTTCCAGATTCCAAAAATGCATGTTAGAGTAGGCTTTATGAGTCACTTGACAGAACTAATGTAAAGATTCTGTTTAAAGAACACACAATTTAAAGTAGACCTCTCAAAAGTCAGATTTTCTATTGCTTCCAACTGCAGCTGAGTAAAATAATCTGACATAAAAACAATCAGGAGCGCTTATGCGAATGCATTTTTTTTACATCACAACTTTAGAAAACATCAGAAGTGGTTATAGGACGCAAATGACAATAAGGCTTACAGAGACATAGTCCAAATGCTTAGTTGCAAATCACGGAACTGTCCTTTAAATTTGGTAACAAAGACCAGTCATTTGCTTTAAGTGCAAAAGCTTTAACATGTGCTGCATCAACAGCTGAGTCTTGGATATAATGGTTTACTGCAAAGAAGATTGTCAGACAAAATTATTGAGAGTCTTAAGGCTAAAAGAGTGCCTTTCGCACATCATTCCCAAGCGGGTCTATTAGGCAGCATAGCTGCTTCCAGCAATTTTTCAGAAAAAAAGGGATGAGTATATTTTACAGCATAGTATTTAAATCTGTCATACAACAGATAGTCAAAGTGCTGCAGAGTCGGGCAGCAGAAAGCTTTCACCCACAGCCGTTGGCAGTGTAAAAGTTTATCAGAATCAGGTTTACAGGTTTCTATTACCCATTGATGTATTCATTTTTTTTTTCATTTAGTATACAAAAATTCTAAGGCCACAAAATATACTGCTGATTTCCCCAAAGGCACTTGAAGAAGATGGGTCTTGACATAACATACCACATATGTTCTCGAGTTTGCCCTGAAAGGAAATGATCTCCTCACAGGTAGTGGGTATGAAATGCTGTTCCAGACAAATGGGGTGCATCTCCAATCATTCTCGAGATATGCAACTCCTCTTGGTTTGAGCGATGATTCAAGCAGAGTTATTTAAAATTTAAATTTTTTTTGTCTTTGAGATGTTTTGAGTTTAAAGTAAAAAACCAAAAAACAAATGACATATCTCCATGGTATAAAGTTCTGTTGTGTGTGTGAGGGTGTTCACTTTTAAATAAGAGGTGCTCCAAATAAACTCCTACAGCACTCCACACTCTTGCTTGGAGGCGCATCAACTTTCTGCATTTTGCAAAGTATTTCAGTTGGAAACTTTTCATATGCAACTCTGTATTCATTGTCGAAAGCCTCTATATAACGGAATGAGAGATTATGCAGTCAGTTAAATCTGTAATTCTAACACAAGCCAAGCCATTACTTTTATCATTGAAAAATTCATGGAAATGTTGGGGCCATGCAGATGTCCATTTCAAACCTGAATATCAGTAACTATTTTATTCAAAAACAGATTTCACCAGTTTGTAGTACACAAAAAAGAAAAGACAAAATTCTAAAAATTAGACTGCTCCAATTTTAGAACTTTACCCAGCATCACTCTTTATATAAAGCCGAATACACCTTAGAGTTGAGATAATAAAGTGGGACTATAATCTGCAATAATGAAGTGCAAAAATAAAATATTGATTAAAGTACAAAAAGGTGCTGTTTTTGACTTGTCTTTTGCCCAAAAGATTTGCATAAACCGAGAAAACCCTGCTTCAGTGTGCTAGTAGATGATGGTTAATGGATGGGTTTTACACATTAGAAAGTTGAAAGAAAATACAAAATTTCAAAAGGCTGCAATTTATTTTTTGCACATTGAACAAAGTCAGCAAAAACAATTAAAATATTTAGTGCTGTAAAGAGGTGTAAATTTTTTTTTTCTACTTTTGAAACATTCGGACTAAACTGTTAAAGGAGCACTGTAGGGTCAGGAACACAAACATGTATTCCTGACCCTATAGTGTTAAAACCACCATCTAGCCCCCCTTGCCTCCCTAAATATAGTACAGTCTTACTTGTATTCAAGTCTGTAGCTGCATGCTTTGTCCCTGTTTCCTTTAGACCTGCCCACTGCCTGCTGACATAAGCAAAAGTGGTAGCCTGGGCCAATCACAATGCTTCCCCATAGGATTGGCTGAGACTGACAAAGAGGCAGATCAGGGGCAGAGCCAGCACAATTGTAACACAGCCCTGGCCAATCAGCATCTCCTCATAGAGATGAATTGAATCAATTAATCTCTACGAGGAAAGTTCAGTGTCTGCATGCAGAGGGAGGAGACAATGAATGTTTGGATGCATTTTAGGCAGCCATGGCCCAGGAAGGATCTCTAATAGCCATCTGAGGAGTGGCCAGTGAAGTTATCACTAGGCTGTAATGTAAACACTGCATTTTCTCTGAAAAGACAGTGTTTACAGCAAAAATCCTGAAGGTAATGATTCTACTCACCAGAACAAATTCAATAAGCTGTAGTTGTTCTGGTGACTAAAGTGTCCCTTTAACCCCTTAAAGACACATGACATGTGTGACATGTCATGATTCCCTTTTATACCAGAAGTTTAGTCCTTACGGGGTTAACTAATAATTAAGCCCAACCTACTTTCCTAAGCTTACCGATATCAATATTTTCTCTTCCGAGAGCAACCAATGAAAGGTATAAGATTTCTCTGTACAGACTCCTAAAGAAAGGAAAACAAAAAACACGCCATAATCAATAACAAATTACAAATTGAACGGGATAACTGAAAACCTAAGTATAGATAGAATATGTTTCTAGCCCTCACCGCTGCCGTTTGCTGGCTGTACTGTATTTCTGCAAGAGAAGGCTGATGGGCCTTACGACATCATTTTTCTGTATCCGGAGAGAGATATTCTCCAACAATGCATCGGTGGCCTGCAGGTCCGGAGGCACAGGGGAAGCCGCCTTTTTCATACTTTCTACACAGGAAATATCCAGAACAAAGGTAATTCACTACTAGCCTTTTCGATTTGTTAACAAAAATAAAATAAAAAAGTATGATAAACACAAAATCAATTAAATACTAGGAGAAACAGAGCTAGTCAATATAAGGCAGAGTTACTCTATGTTAGTGTATTCAACTAACATAGGAAAATACTTTATGAGGAAAATACAATCAGGGTTATTCACTGAAGAGATAATTCAAATTGAATTCAAAGTGAATTTCAAATTTAAAAAGGACACTGTGGTCAACAGAACCACTACAGCAAGCATGTCAAACTCAAAGGCTAACACGGGCCAAGTAGACAAGGTTTAACTTTATGTGGGTCGCAAAAAAACAAAAACGTAAGTTTTCATAGAAATGTAGGTGTATTTAATAAAGCACAATATAAAAATGTTGCCTGACACTGGAGGTCCTTGCGCTCGTAGGGCTTCAAAGTAAACAACATAGCAAATTTCTTTTAAAAAGAAATGCATGTGCATATAACCAATGTTTCAGTCCAACTACCTTGACATATTAAGAAAAAAAGTTTGGTAATGGGACTGAAATGGTGAATGTATGCTGTTGCACAGCTGTAAAAAAACAAAAAAAACAAACAAAAAAAAAAACGTTATCTTGTTGATTTTGAAGTCCTATGAGTGTGTTCTTCACTTTGGCTGAGATCATCAAACTTGATGATCTCAGCCAATCCAATGGTTTCCCATAGGAAAGCGTATGAAGACTAATGTGCATGTGTGGCAAAAAGCTGCGTGGCCAATCAGCAATCTCCATGGGAAGCGTTCAGCAGATCCACTCCAATACACTGCCCCCTCCACCTAATCTAATACACTGCCCCTCCACATTATTTTAACACACTGACCTTCCCTCCCCAAAACTAATACACTGCCCCCTCCCTCCCCCTAAATTAATACATTGCTCTCCGCCCGGATTTTTCAGCTTGTTCTGCTATTTTTCGTGTGAGATTGAAAATACAGTGCAATACCGGCACCGGCCAGTAGTGTATGGAGAGAGACAGGAATAGGAAGCTACATCTTATCCCAGCTTCTCTCTCCTGACTGAATCCGCAGGGGAGAAGCACATGCAGCCAGAGAGAGCCTATAGATCAGGGAAGTGAGGCATGGGGAGGCAGCCTATAGATCAGGAAAGTGAGGAATGGGGAGGCAGCCTATAGATCAGGGAAGTGAGGCATGGGGGCAGCCTATAGATCACAGAAGTGAGAGATGGGGGATCCACCTACAGATCAGGGAAGTGGGGGTGATGGGGGGAGGCAGCCTACAGGAAGGGTCAGCAAGAAGCAGGAAGGTAAAGTAAGAGAAGGAACAGAAATGAGCAGGAAGGGACATCAAGGAGCAGAAAGGGACATCAAGGAGCAGAAAGGGACATCAAGGAGCAGAAAGGGACATCAAGGAGCAGAAAGGGACATCAAGGAGCAGAAAGGGACATCAAGGAGCACAAAGGGACATCAAGGAGCACAAAGGGACATCAAGGAGCACAAAGGGACATCAAGGAGCACAAAGGGACATCAAGGAGCAGAAAGGGACATCAAGGAGCAGAAAGGGACATCAAGGAGCACAAAGGGACATCAAGGAGCACAAAGGGACATCAAGGAGCACAAAGGGACATCAAGGAGCACAAAGGGACATCAAGGAGCAGAAAGGAACATCAAGGAGCAGAAAGGAACATCAAGGAGCAGAAGGGGACATCAAGGAGCAGAAAGGGACAGCAAGGAGCACAAAAGGTAAAGTGGGAGAAGGAACAGAAATGAGCAGCAAGGAGCAGGAAGGGTCAGCAAGGAGCAGGAAGGGTCAGCAAGGGTCAGCAAGGAGCAGGAAGGGTCAGCAAGGGTCAACAATGAGCTGGAAAGGGCAGCAAGGAGCTGGAAAGGGCAGCAAGGAGCTGGAAAGGGCAGCAAGGAGCTGGAAAGGGCAGCAAGGAGCTGGAAAGGGCAGCAAGGAGCAGGAAGGGTCTGCAAGGAGCAGGAAGGGTCTGCAAGGAGCAGGAAGGGTCTGCAAGGAGCAGAAAGGGACAGAAGGAGCACAAAGGTAAAGGAACAGAAAGAATCAGAAGGAACACAAAGGTAAAGTAGGAGAAGGAGCAGAAGAGGGTAGCAAGGAGCAGAAAGGGATCAGATAGAGAAAGGAGCAGAAGGGGAGCAAAATAAGCAGAAAGTAGCAGAAAGGTAAAGTAGCAGAAAAGTAAAGGGGCAGAAGGAGCCATGGAGGAGAGAAGACAGTGTCAGAAGAAAAAGAAGACTGTGTCAAATGAAGGAGAAGGGGGCGGGGGCGGACCGCCGACAGGATCAGAAACGCTCTGTCTGAGCTTCCGCTTTGGGGCCGGGAAAACGGCGCAAACTGGAGGCAAAACCTTCCTAGCCACCCGCAACATAGTTCACACTGATCCCCAGATCCTGGGGTACGAGGGGATACCCCACAAGAAGCCTACAGTAACCCGATGAAGGCCCGAGGTGTGCAGGAGCTTGAGCCGGGACGAGACGGCCGCTCTCCCGGGTCTCCGGCCGGTGTCTGGCGTCCCCTCCCCCCCCTCTGGACCGGGGGGGTCATCCCGGTCTACACACACACATGCAACTACTGTCACGCCACGCAGGGCCGAAAACTACCACCCTGCTAGAACACTCACCGGCAGCAGTCCCCAAGATGGCCGCCACACGCCAGCCACATGTGCAACCTACCGCAGGAGAAACCATCCAACGCCATCTGATCACCACAGCAACCTGCCCTGGGGATGCGCCCGCGGATCACATTGAGCAGACTAAGGGGATGCTAACCACACATATATTGGGTGGTTGAAGAAACAAAACGGAAAACCTTCGCGCCTGTGGAGGACGCCATCACTCTCCTGGGGCCCATTTTATCTGCCCGGAGGATGACTGCACCTGCACCCAGACCTTTTCTGTGAGGCGCAACGCATCAATTCTCTCCCTGACTGATATGCATCCTTCAGCACTGGATATGGACTAAACAAACCCACGCAGGTCCTCAAACGCACAGTCCAATATGAATATCAGGACTTTACAAGATCTCAACCGAAGGACTGACCCAGTAGCTAGCTGGTACAACTTTATTCCACCTTGCAAGAAGCATTCCCATGTTTCCTACTGCCCTGGTTAAGCTCCTCTGTGCTTCTCAAAACACATCTCTCATAACACTGATCCCAGCAGGCTCTGATGGTATCTTTATGTCTTAATGTTATGCACAGTGCTATATATGCCTGCTTAACCCTTGATAGATGCAGATAGCATAGCAAAGAGCCATGGAAAACGTATAATGCATGTTGAGTGTGTTGCAATATCATTCTACAGACATAGCTACACTAGCATAATGGTTTGCTACGCCACATAAGACCATACTGCAATACCAATAGCCTGTCTACCTGACTAACGCTGTATACCTATAGATGAATGCCCGTATTAATCGTGAGAAACCATACTCTGACCAAACATGTATGAAGTATAGATGCTTACATACAGTCCAAACTACGATGCTGAAACTGCTTATATTCTTAGACCATATTTACAATCTACTGCGGTATTCGTATGCTTAAACCTGCTTAAAATGTAAAATTGTGCATGTTACTCTTGTGCCCCGCATGTTCCGCGTGGGAAAAAGCTGGAGGACTGCCTTTGGGGCACCTCTTGCCTGTTTGTGTCACATCTATGCACTACAAAAATAAAAAAATTTAAAAAAAAAAAATGAAGGAGAAGAAACAGAGATTGGAGCAGGAAGGACAAGTGAAGTAAACCCTCCACTTTATTCTGGACACCACATCATAAGGCTTTGGTACCTGGGCCTGGCAGGGAAACTTTGGACCTTCTCATCTCCCCAGGTAAAAATAAAATAAAAAAATATCAGTCTTAATGTGTTCACTTTTATTTACTGAGTGTCAGGAAGCATGGAGTGCCGGTAGGTGGGGGTGTCACTGATTGGCTAGAGCGGTCAGCTGGCACTCTAAGCCAATCAGTAGCTCCCCATTCAAAAAAAAGTAAAACCTTTTTTATGAACCGGGAACTAGCGATTGGCTTAGAGCGTCAATTGATCACTCTAGCCAATCTGCAGCACCCATGCCTGACGTCAATCTGCACTTCCTGACACTCCGTTTCAGAAGCCGAATACCACTGAGCTACCTGGAGATCTGGAGCTGGAGGAAGCCTTTGGGGTTAAACCATCTGAGAGCGGTTTAACTCCTTAAAGTAAAGAGAGCACCCTTTAATTTACTTAAAGGAACACTATAATGTCAGGAATACAAGCATGTATTCCTGACTTCATAGTTGTGAAAACGCTATTCACCCTGGCTTTATGTGAAAATGACTATGCCCCTTCCCTTTCAGGACACGGTCAAAAAGGGACCAAGCATGGATGTCATTACAATTATGCCCCCCCACCCTGGCAAAATTCCTGCGGACCCCCATGCTCCCTCCCTCAAATCAATACACTGCCCCCTCCCTCCCTCAAATCAATACACTGCCCCTCCCTACCCCAAATCAATACACTGCCCCTCCCTACCCCAAATCAATACACTGCCCCCTCCCTCAAATCAATACACTGCCCCCTCCCTCAAATCAATACACTGCCCCCTCCCCAATTTAGCACACTACACAGGAAGGTCCCCCAAGCTCCTCTTCCCCTACCTTAAGATGAGCCGCCCGTCCTCCAGTTCCAGCCCTGCTCTTCTTTGCTGAAGCAGGCCAGACGCTCCTCTGGCATTGCGAGCAGGAGAGAAGGGGGAGTGGCTGTCCTGTGGGCAGCAAATTTGACATGCTTGCACTACAGCTTAATGTAGTTTTAGTGCCCCTGCAGACTTTGTACTGTAAACACTTTTCCATAGAAAATGCAGTGTTACATTGCTGGCCATTTACAACTCTAGTGAGCCATTTAAGGTGCTTCTTAGTCCAGTGCTGCACAGTGTGCAACAGCTAGTTTCAGCGTCTCCACGCTCTGCATGGACAAGCTGAATGTAACAGGGACCTAATGTTTACTTACAGCACTATAGTGTCAGGAATACATGTTTGCATTCCTGACACTATAACGTTCCCTTAAGGCCAAAGTGGCTGAACTGGAAGCACAGCTAAGCTAGATAATTTTTTTCAGTTTGGATATTTTGACCTTACATTTCATATTCACTTTGAATTCTCACTTTAGTGAATAACTCTAAATGTTTTGCATTCAGTTGAAGCTGGTAAAATGATTCCAGTCGATTTTACCTATATTTCCTTACCTAAATTCCTCCACATGATATAAAGTGCTTCTCCTGGATCTTGGTGCAGGTTGACATTATCCCACAACAACTGAACATAAACAAGCTTGCTGTCTTGCGACAGAGATGTCTGGGGAAGCTGTAGAGGTGAGAGATTGTTTTAGATTACATGGTAGTTAAAGCAGTAGAATTATTGAGCCATTCTAGAAAAAGGAGAGTTTTTAGAGAAAAAGAAACAGGATTTACTTCTAGCTTAAAAAGATCACTTTTAGCAGTGAGCCACATGGAATCTGGCCAGGGGTAACGCAACTCCATCAGTAGATGTCCAAAAGCTGCACCCCTTTTCTGCTTCAATAGTCACTGGAGGGGGATCTTTTTGGTGTAATATGCCCCATTGGGCACTATTAAAAAGGTCCCCCACTCCGTTTGCAGTCAAAGCTGTGAAAAAATAATAATTTTTCTTATCTGGCATCCAGTGCTTAGTTACACTGCCCCTCCGGACATCACAGATGGCCTTGCGAGATCCAATCACAGGCTTCTCATAGAGAAGTCAGAAATTGGACTGGTTTGCTGACTCTGATAGTGTGCGAGGGCAGGGGAAGGGAGAGGAAGAGATGGAGTAAAATTATTAATAATAATAATAATAATAATTTAAAAAAAGCCAATACAATTAGCAGAGGGAGCACAATCTTTCCTGTGTAGGTGCTCTGCACAGGGAAGGTCAGCGCATTGATGACAGACGCAAACTATGCACAGAACTGATATTAGCTGGGCTGCCAATGTCACACGTGCTGGAGGTGCAACTACCCCCGGCACACCATAAAAAAAAAAAAAAAAGTTCAGTATGTGTAGTGTTTTTGCTCCTACCTACATACTCCTACCACCATGACCACTTCAAATCACTAAAGTGGTTGTGGTGGTTGGAGAAACCCTTTAAGCACAACATACTTTGTCCATAATAAACTTTCAGGGCACTGTCTTTCAAGGTAGAATACTCTGCAGAGTTAAATGATAGCTACATACTATGAAGACAGTGGTAACGAATTGTAAAGCTGAAAGGGGCAATCACTTTATTACACTGCCTGATGGTAAAGGTTAATAATTTATAATAATAAAAAAAAAAACTATTTAAAAAAAAATGTTTCTCTCTTTTACACAGCAGTTAGTCCTTACATTCATAATAGTTTTCCAAATAATTATTCCACAAATCTGGTGGAAGAACAGCGTATACCTGCACTCCACCATTGCAGTGCTCTGATGTGAGGATGAGACCCGGTAAATTGCTGGGCAAGTCCAAGCGCCTGAAGTACCACACCAAATTCCAGAAGATGATAGGATGCTGGTTGATAAACGTGGAAGTGTGAATGACCTGGTCACCTTCATTTTCAAGCAGAGACTCCAACTCCTTGCGAAGTACAAGGGGGCTAAGGTATGGGACGGAGACAGGAAGGGGGTTGTGCCTCTTTTCCAAAGAATCCTTTAGAAGAAAAAAAACAAAACAACAAAAAAACTAGATTAGGGCTACAAGCTCTACATACATATACATATATATATATATTTATTTCATGTAGTCTGGTGAAAATCGTAGTTCTTTAACAAGTAATGGCACAGAGTAATTGTAATTAGCTATTTGTGTCACCATACAATGGATTGCAGAAAATGCAGATAATGCTAATGGGATCAGACTAAAGCCAAATTCAGATGCCATTTTAGAACTGCCTTTAATTGCTTGACCTATGTGTGTGCATTGCTGTGGCACTCTTTCTATGTCAGTAATGTTTGTGCCAGGTTCTTCCTCGCTTTTCATTGTTTATCCCCCTATTAAAATAACAAAGACTATAAGATTCTGATGTTCATTTTGTTAAAATAGAAGAAGAGACAATAAAAAAAAAGCAAAAACCTGATAACATTTCTCTGAAAAGTACTATGTCTAACTAATAGGACTATCAATACGTGCTCAGACTGGGTCTTTGGGTACTTACAACTTCCTGTAGACTGTTAGGAAGGCTGACAGTTGAGACTCCATGAGAAGGTCTCTGTGACAGGTCAATATTTTGGAGAGGTCCTCCTACACTGTGACTCCTGGTCAATGAAGCAGTTCTCTTTTGGGCACTAGCTGTTTCAGGCACCTTTACAGTCGCTGGAAATTCCACACCTTCCTTAACAGACATTAAACTAAAACAAACAAAAAATACCCCACAAATGTACAATAAAAAACTTATATACTTGCTGAGCAACAAGAGTTTTTGTTCAATGACAGCTTAACAATTAAAACAAAGCAAAAATATCTGAATCGTTGGAGGTTAATCAGGTATGCATGGAAGCAACCCTCATCAGTATTATTGTTAAATGCATTGGTATATAGTTTGAACCTTATGTATCACTGCTTTGTTAAGAAATGTACCACAACTAGTGATGTCCCGAACGGTTCGCCACGGACTCATCATTGAGTAAACTTTGACACTGTACCTCACAGTCAGCAGACACATTCCAGCCAATCAGCAGCAGACCCTCCCTCCCACCTCCTGGACAGCATCCATTGTGAAGCTGCATTCTTAGTGAGCTGTCCAGGAGGTAGGAGGGTCTGGGAGGGAGGGTCTGCTGCTGATTGGCTGGAATGTGTCTGCTGACTGTGAGGTACAAGGTCAAAGTTTACTCAATGATGAGTCCGTGGCGAACCGTTCGCGAACCGTTCGGGACATCACTAACCACAACCTGTCAATGTAGTATTTCAAAACGTATATTCTTTACCATGCTACTGAGCATTATAAAACTGGGCATATACATTACAAGAATTATGTGGTAAGGCATTTTATGTTTAGTTATATTTGAGCAATTTTGTTCTATATGTCTTCCTAGAGTAGTGGAAACAAGTACCGATTGTTAATTTGTAACCTTTTTTTCTCTTCCTATATTCGGTATGTTTTTTTTTATAAACCTACAACATGGCTTTGATTGCAAGCTAGCTAAGTAACAGAAGAGAAAACAGACTTAAAAATTCAGGCAAAAAAAATCACCAAGATGTGTTAAGAGGTTTCTTTTTTTTTTTTAACTAAATCAGCAGTAACCTAAATTTAAGAATTAGATTTTCAGCTTACTACAGGTTGGTGTTTTAGGAATAAACATTGTTTACATTTAACATTGTAAGAAGACCCAAAAGGGTAATCTCTTTGTTTATTTAATGGTATTTACACGAGTAATATTGGTCAGCAGAATTATCACCTGTTATTTGCATGTTTTTAAAGTAAACTCTTTGGTTCTAATGGACTGTTTATTACCAGTAAAGTTCTTTCAGCAAAGTACAGTCAATAGTAGCAATAATTAATTCGATGAAAGCTTTAGGAGCAGCAGGGAAAAAAATGGACCATGATTAGTCACACTGCTACATACTTTTGTTCCGATGCAGCACTGGTTCTATCTGCTGTATGCTGAGTGGAGGCAGTAGGATTTTCAGAAGTCATCAGATCATTGGCTGCAGAACCTGACTTATTTTTTTGTTCTGTACTTTGAAGACTGTCTCCAGAATTACTTGGCTTCAAGTAGAAACTGTAACAGTGAAATGCAGTTATCACTTTAGATTAAAAAATATCATTATACACCAACACTAACCCCTTAACTTTACATGTTATGAGAATGAAGAGCCTTTAAGCTTCAGTGACTTCACATTTATTTTAAGATTAATTCACATGAGGTCAATAATTAATTCACAGTAAGGTCAATAATGAGGCCAGTGAGGTCTTTATTTCACTTTTCTGTCTGTTTCCACAGGTGAAGTTAGAAGACTGTAAGCTAAATTAAAGGAACACTAAAGGGTCAGGAACGCAAACATGTGTTCCTGGCCCTATAGTGTTAAAACCACCATTTAGCCCCCCCTGGCACCCCTAAGTATGGTAAACTCATTCTTCTATACAAGGCTACAGCTGCAGCCTCTCCCCTGATCTGCTTGCTTGGCTGACATCATTAGAAGTGATTCTCTGAGCCAATAATAATGCTTTCCCATAGGATTGGCTGAGACTGCCAAGGAGGCAGATCAGGGGCAGATCCAGCACAAGTCAAACACAGCCCTGGCCAATCAGCATCTCCTTACAGATATTTGGATCAATGCTTCTCTATGAAGAAAGTTCAGTGTCTGCATGCAGAGGAAGGAGAAACTGAATGGCAGTGCTGCACAGTACACAGCACTGCAACAGAAAGCACCACTAGCAGCCTTCTAAGGAGTGACCAGTGGAGGTATCCCTAGTCTGTAATGTAAACACTGTGTTTTATCTGAAAAGACAATATTTACCACAAAAAGCCTACAGGGAATGATTCTACTCACCAGAACAAATACAATAAGAAGTAGTAACTCTGGTGTCTGTAGTGTCCCTTTAAGAATAATGCACTTTAAGCACTATACTAGGAGTATTTATTTTCTAAAATAGTAAAGATATTGGATAAACTTTTGCAACCTTCCATACTATTTTCCTTGTGTGACATTGCATTATAGATGGATTTGACTTTCCCACTTGTCCTGATGTATTACAGTTGAGCAGTTCATATTAATTCAACCATAAAAAAGATTTGTATCAAATCTTACTTCCACAAAGCAATCGATTGATTTTATTTTTAATGAGCCAAATCATTAAGATGTGACTGGAACATCTACAGCCTTTCTCAACTCTCCTATTATTTCTGCATCAATATGAACAGAACTGAAAAGGAAATGCTAACCAACCTTGCAGAGCCACGAAAATCTTTAAATTCAATGTTAAGAAGAGGCAAGAAAGTGGTTTTACAGAAAGGGCAAGTGGTGTTCAGATTGGAGTCATCAGCAGTCCATCCTGCCATGATTTCTTCATCGTATACCAGGGCATCACAAGCTCGGCACTGAGAGCAACTGGACATCAGGACCTACAAAAAAAATAATAAATCCAGCACAGGGCCAAACAAGCAATTAATAGACATACATTTAAACATTTAATGCAGATTTCATTTGGCTTATTAGGTAGTTTGTGAATACCTACTTCCCCTTTTAAAATGATTATGTTATCATCTCTGGAACTTTGGTGAGTCAATGGCTTGGACATGTACACCTTTCTCTTGCTATGGTACATGCATATGGAAATATACACACCCCCAAAATTTTTTACTTTACATTAAAAATAAATAATCACAACTGCAGCTGCAAAAGCATCATTATGCTTCTTGCCAATAAGCAGTAAATGTCAGCTATAAGAGAATTATCACACAAAAAACATATTTATGTGAGGATTCAAAGCAACAGGACTCAATTGATGGTGTATTTATAAACATATGAGTGATTTAAAAGCACTATATCTAATTTGCAAATAATGTAGGTCTAAATTCAGTTAAGATTGGCTGTTAGTAAAAACAATGGATACAACCTCTTTGAAGAAATTATCTGGTGCACCTTGTTTTTGCACAACTAGCAGCTGCAAAGCGTCTCAGTTTAGAACTATGACACAGAGTAAACCATTTTGTATAAATAATGTCTAGCACTTCAAAGATTCCCCAAGCAGTGCCCTTAATTCAGTTTTGATAGAAGTGCAGTTCGTCCATCTTTAACCTTCAAAAAATGACCTCATAGGAAAATATGCATAAATCCCAAATAATTAAGATTCCTGAATAAGTTAGCTTACCTCCATGGCAATGTTCTGAAATATACTGGACAAGCTGGTATTGTGAGATCCGTGCTCAGATTTTTCAGATTCCAAACCCCTTAAACCTTTCCCAGCACCAGCTTCACCTAAAGACAGGACCAGGAGTTATTTGAATCCTTTATATCATTATGGATTAACACAATGATGTATTTAGCATGTAAATGAATACAATGCTTCTGGGAGAGGATCAAAGCCAAGGAAAAGAAACCAGACAGGGATAGTCAGTTATGGGGGCTGTTCAAACAGCAAGATCTCTGTGTGAATGTCAGATAGTATAAATATCAATTATTTGCCACGTCCAAGTGGTTTGAACTATTTTCACATTGCCAACTGCCTAGAAGTATTTTTTGGAACTCTTCTGAGCCCTATCAGTGAAAATTCCATTATATAATATTGCATTTATTTAATTTTTAAGTACTGTAGTAATTGAAATAATAAAATAAAAATACTGTACTAGCCAGTGTCTTTATTAACATTTTTAATAAACCTGCCATTTTGGGGTCAAGAAGAAATTATGTCCTAGCTCGTTGCAAAATTGTAAAGCGCTCAACTATTTTTTTTCGTCTTGCTTTTGGATCAACAGCAGATGTGAGAAAGGCTAAACTTAACGGATGCATGTCTCTTTTCAGCTGTGTAACTATATTCAATAATATAAAAAAAATTTGCTCCACCACAATAAATTTCTTACTATTTATTTTAGAATAATTAAGAAAAAAAATCATTATCCTCACCAATTTAAAATATTTTATGAAATAACAACTTGGGGGAAAAAAATAAAATGTTATATACTTACTATTTGCATAGCTTTGTTTGCTGGCATCCCCACTGCTACTGTGGCTGCTTCCAAGGCTGGTATCACTTTGTGTCAGTTCACTTGCAGGTCCATGGAGACCAATCTTACTGCTAAAATGATCCCCCAGGAGGTGATCATCAACATTGGATGGAAAATGTGACCTGGATTCCACTTCATCCTAAAATTCAACAATTTGAATCTACAATTACCTGTTTGTTATAATGTATTCTCAACATTAGAAAGAACCAATAACATATGAATGTTGATAAAAGTGGAAATAAATATCTAACACAAAAAAGGAGAGGGTGCGGAAGCATTTGATAAAGAACAATAGGAAGAAATATAGAGAAAATAAATAATCGAGAAAGTATGGACATAGCAGGAATAATATAATAAATTGCAGAAATATGTCTTTACTGTGGCCAGCACGGTATAACAGGAGCATACACTTTCATGTATACTATGTGCCAACTGCTAGAAAATGTATAGATTTAATTTTATCCCTAATTAATTTGAAGCCATTGGCTTAAATTGGCATATTTAATGTAATGTATGTACACATATTCAAGTATGAGAACTCACAATGTCTAGCAATCAGACATTTCTACTTGGCTTGAAATATAATACAGGATCTACTTGTTCTTTAAAGGACCACTATAGTGCCAGGAAAACATACTCGTTTTCCTGGCACTATAGTGCCCTGAGGGTGCCCCCACCCTCACGGACCCCCTCCCACCCGGCTCTGGAAGGGGGAAAGGGGTAAAAACTTACCTTTTTCCAGCGCTGGGCGGGGAGCTCTCCCCCTTTCTCTCCTCCTCCGTTCCTCCTCCTGGGCTGAATGCGCACGCGCTCCGCGCGCATTCAGCCCGTCGCATAGGAAAGCATTTACAATGCTTTCCTATGGACGCTTGCGTGCTCTCACTGTGAAAATCACAGTGAGAAGCACGCAAGCGCCTCTAGTGGCTGTCAATGAGACAGCCACTAGAGGATTAGGGGGAAGGCTTAACCCATTCATAAACATAGCAGTTTCTCTGAAACTGCTATAATTATGAAAAAATGGGTTAACCCTAGAAGGACCTGGCACCCAGACCACTTCATTAAGCTGAAGTGGTCTGGGTGCCTAGAGTGGTCCTTTAATATTACAGACTACAGAAAATATGTACATTTAGATTGATTAATACTAAAAGAAAGGTCTTGCAAATCTAGAACCTGATGGATTTTGTAAAATCATACCAAAGATACAAAAAAAATAATATTACAATTACAAATTAAAATAGTGAAAGAAAAATAAAATAAAATGGCAACTTGGGCAAAGAATCTGAAACTCAAATGACATAAGGCTCACATAGTGGAAATCAGAGTAAGAAACACACTAACACATGTAAAGCAAAGATCGGACATCTCTGGCAGTTGTTGAGCCATATTGTTTAGGACCTTGAGATGTTCAGGGAAATGCCACCCAACAATTGGCAGGCAACAACAACAGCTGGGCAATCACTGGTATGATTTTCCAGCAGTGTAGTAAAATTGGTAAAATAGTTCTCTAACTAGGACACCTGTCCAGAACCATGGAGTTCTAACCACACAAGTGGCATGCCTGTAAGCAATCAACTCTATATGTCCCAAACATGTTAAATTTGCAATAAACTAGACTAGCAAGACTAGCAAGCTGAAATAATGCTTGAATGTCTGGACCATTTTTTGTGAGTTAGCCTCAATTGCTGGAAAGTATGACCAGGATAACTTCACAACGCAATGAGTAGATTATACTAGGGAGATGGCTGCTTACTAGTTTGCATTGACATACATGTTGTTGGATTAAAACAAGCCAATTTCCATCCAGGCCAGTATTCTAATAATACAGGTATCTGGTAACCAACTGCTGCTTAAACAAATGTCCTTAAATTGCATGCAAACACTTTGAACTCTGCCTGCTGCACCATGTATACCATTCTTTTATTGTATAGATAATGGGTCTAAACCATTATCCATTGATTTATCTCTCAATCTCTCTATATAGGATAGACAGAGACCGGTTTACTTGCCTCATCATCAGAGTAACTGTAGGCTGAAGAAACTGCCCCCCACATTTTGCTTGCAACATTGGCTGCTTGTTTCATACTAGACTTCATGCCAGATTTTAAAACATCCATTTTGGGTCCTGTCAAGAGTGCATCCAGCTTGAGACCTGGAAAAGAGTTCACTAATGAGCCTAAGGAGTTATGTGGGGAGGAGCGTACAAGGGCCGTCAAGGACAATGACCGTTCCTTTTGGCTGCTCAGTTGGTGCTTTGGGCCTGAAGTAAATGTTTTAGACCGTGAGACCGAATTCTTTGGGTTTTCACTCTGCACATCAGTCGGAGGTATAGTGTCTGCAGGGAGGCTGGACCTTCTTTCAGAGCTACCAGTGTTATCACTTGGCAGTGCTTGCCCCTGGCTTCTCAGTTCCATGCTGGAGGACTTGCTGCCAAGGGGACTTTTCAAGTTCATGTAACTTTCAATTTCGTCAGCTAGATTACGTGCCACAACAGGTGAGATACTCTTTTCCTCGGGAGATGGAGGTTTTTCCTCTACGGTCTCTGATGCCAGCAGGGACAATGGGTCAAGACCCTTTTCAACCCCTTCCCTCTCTACTGCTTTGGAGAGACCATACAAGCTATTCCTCTTATTTGGTTCCACTGCGGATTTAGCGCTAGAGTTTACAGGTATCTGATCTTCCTCTGCAGCATATACAGTTTCTACTCCATCTGTTGTGCTTTCTTCTTTAACAACATCTAAATGATCAATTGTTAAAGACAATCTTTTTGCTGATACTTGATCATGGGCTGGTTCTCCTGCATCCTCCTGTGGATGAGCACTGCCCATAATTGTCTGATTGTCATGACTGTTTATTCCATCAAAACTAAATTCTTTGTTTTCCTGTGTTGGTGTTTTGGAAAGAGCTGCAGTAAGGATCTTGGCATCAGCTCCCATTTTAAGGGCAATCTCATTGCTAGTGATATCGAGGCTACCTTTCTTCAGAAGCATACCAGCTCGACTCTCAGCACTGAAACTGCAGCTTCGCTCAGAGAAGACTTTTTGCTTCTTTTGCGACCCAGACTTTTTTAACTGAACCTCATTGGAAAACACTGTGTCTTCTCCGATGTCCATAACTGACGGCAATAATCCTGGACCACTACCTACAAGCATAAAGTAAGTACATTATTTTGTGCAATTTAAAATACATGTTGGAACATTAATGTTTTTGGTCACAACGTATATTTCTGACATGTAGTAGTAAGTGCTTAGCTTAACAGTAAAAGATGAAGCACCCAGCAATTAGGAAATAAAGTGAAAAAAAGAAATAGGTTTATAAAAACAGAGCTGAAAATAGGAATGGAATAATTAAATGGAATGTTTCAGTATATTGTGTGAAATGTAATACCTGCAATAACTAGCTTCCCTTTCTAAAAATGAATCTGTAATTTTAAGAAAATTTTTAAAGTGCTTTTGCAGCACACATGTAAAGAAATTTCTGATTTCTCTGTATACTACTAGTAGTCATTCTAAGTGAACATTTATTTTACAAATACAAATAAACCCAATGTGGGGGGGTGTATAAAGATGGAACTACATGTGCTAAAATTCAGTTGTAATAACTTTTATCAAGTGGGCTGTGGCTTTAATGGGATAGCAACTCACCACTACTGTTCTTCCTCCCAGTGTTGTCAAAGATGCCTGAAGGAACTTTCACAATGCTGCCACCAAACGATGGGGATTCTGGAGGGTTTGGACCTTCACAGAGTGGCATGAGTTTTTCACACTGGCCCTCAGTGCTGGATTCTGTACCAAACAACCCAAAAATATAAGCGTAAAATCAAAGCACGTCTTCAATTCAACACATACAGTTGAGAGGGTGCAAAATCAATCAGTTCTAACTTGCTGACAAACTGAAGGTTTCTATGTAGATGACAAAATTTTTTTTTTTTTTATTATATTGCTACTTTATTGCATCTCTGTAATAAGTGGGGGGATGTGATTAACCACCAAACTGTATGCCAATGAAGTGTTATTGTGTTCTAATACAGGGATTCAAGCCCCCATTCTATCCTTAGGCAATAATGGAGTCCTCTGTGAAGCACATGGCCTTTCACGAGGCAAAACCAGTTAGGTCGTTGATAAACTCCTCCTCCATTCCCTTCCAATGCAATCCCTCTCCCCCCAGGAGGCACTCTGGTTCTGTTAGATCCTAAGGGATTGACTAAGGGAGGTGTGTCCAGCAGAAGGAGGGGCTAACCTGTTTAAAGCCTTGTGAATAGCACATTTTCTCTCTCTTTGAATTACCTCTCTTCACCTTCTCTCTCCTCTCTCCCCTCTCCCCACTATACACACCCTCTCTCACTTACTCTCAGCTGCTGATCAATGGAGTGGTAACTGTATCACGTGTCTATGTCTGTTTTATTATGTTAATTTAGCCTACTTTCCATTCAGTCAATGTTAGTTTTAGTAGCAACATATACTAGCCTATTTCAAATGTATATGTATTGTTTATTTGTTTGATTAAGCCTTTATTAATAAATATTATTGAATTGCCGAAAGCAAGGAGTGTGGACTCCGAATTTACACTCGGTTTTTAAGTTATTATTTTTAGTTATTAATGTTATTATTAATTCCAAGTTTATTCCAACTTGCGAGTTAAACGTTTATTACAATCTCTCTCCGATGTATGACCAGGAATAACCATATTTGCAATTGGACGATCCAACTGAAATTTTCCTCAGGACCAAAAAACACCCACTACTGCGATAACTGATATGTTTACCTGTTCCATCTGTAGGTGACGACTTATCTTCACTTGGTCCCTGAAATTGGCTGGGATTTAATGTTCTCTCTGATTCGACATTAGGCTGCTGGATATCTTGGTAGAAAGCAAGATCTTTCTGATCCTTGGAATCAGAATTCTGATTAGGCTGATCTCCTACAGTAAAATACATTGTAAAAACATCTTTAGTTGCTTGTACATTAAAATACAGACACATTTGTTTGCAATAGGTTATCTTCCTCACTATAGCAACAATTTAATGGTTGACACAGAGGAGGCAGACAAAATGACTACAACTGGATACTCAAAGTTTAATGCTCATAACTGCAAATATAACAATAATTATGTTAATCTAAGTCAGCATGTTATCCTGACATGCTTTTCAGCAGTTTAAGATATATAGTGGCACATTCATGGCTGCATTACTCATTTCTTTTGTTGAGGAGGCAACATTTCCCAGCAAACAGCTGTCTCCATCTTTAGGATTGGACGTTCCTTTTTAGGACTTTGTAACTGCACAGTTTTCACTGTTAACAGGGTATACAGACAACTTTCTCACTCTACTGATTCACGATATAAGCACCAGCATTTATTTGAACTGGTACTAGCTCCCATTGCTATTAAGCTTGTTGTGTGAAATGCAATCCAAATTAAACATTGCAAAAAAAAAAAAAAAAACAAGTCTACAGCAGTAAAATAGTATTCAAATATTTCTACTACTGGATTATGAAAATGTAGAATTGTTTTTGAGTGTTTTTTTTTTTTTTTTAACAATAAATGCCAATATGGTTAATTAGGACGTGTGAAGGTTGTAAGGAATTTGAGGTTTAGGCAGCTAATAATTACATTTAAAAAAACAGGCTAATCTCTAACTTACAAATCTGAATTGCATCGTATTAGAAATGCTAAAGTTTATAGATGCTTTCTGTAACAGAGAAAATAAATGTCATATATTAATAAGTAATACATTAATTTAAATGCATACCGTAGGACACGTAGAAATGTAGATCTACCCCCAAGGTTGGTCATGTGTAGAGTAAAAATTTTAATAAACACATATTGTCCTAGCCTGCCAACCCACTGGATCTTAATGGTCTTTGCTGACCAGAGGGAATAACAAATAAAATAATATTCATTTGTATTAGGGGGGGGGAATAAAATAAATAAATAAGATAGGATACTCTTTGCTGATGAAGATTATTTTTTTTTAACTTGTTGGCAATTTCAATTTCTGCTTTTTAAATAAAACTGGTTCAGTTATTTACTGTAAATATGCTGCATAATCAAGGGAGTTGCTGTGGCTGATACATTTGTAATGGAATCTTCTTTTGAATAGATGTCAATATTCACAAACAGAGGTTTTAAAAATAAAGATAAAAAAAAAAAAAATCAAACACCAAACAGAAAAATACCTTAAAGATATAGATTAAAAAGAATGACAGGGATATGAATGTATTATTTATTTTGACAACCTTTTTTTTTATTCAAATGGTTTTGAAAAAAATATAGAAAATGATACTAAGAGCATAGTAGCCACTATAACAACCGCAGCGAGCCTAGAGTAAGCAATATCCATAAACCCATAGTGATTATGGTAGATAAAGTATATCCAACTATGAGTGTAAAAGTGTTAGATTTGAACTGTGATGATGACGATAAGAAATTAGCAAGTCAGTGCTAGGAGACTGATAAACTTGTGAACTAAGACTCAAATCACAAAAAAATCCCAACAATCCTGCCAGCTACCACCACCCGAGAGCCACTCAGGTGTCACTCTAAAAGCTAAAAATCCAACCATCACTAGTCCGAGCATTCCATAAAGGTCAGGCAGCTACCATTCAAAATGGAGGGTCTGGAACACTGTCGATCGACTCAATAAACTAGCCTTAACAAAATCTACTCCATCCTCATCCAGCGACACATTTCACTCCAAGAAGAGGAGTAACAGGTCCAGGAAGAGGAAAGGATAGCAAGGAGTAGCAGCAGGACCGAAAAAGAAGAAAGACGAGAGAAAGAATAGGACATGGGTAGGAAAAAAAAGGGGGGGAAATTTAATGCAGCAGACAGCCCAAACAAACATATATGCCACTTCTAGTTTCACGGATTCCCTCCAAACAATGTGTGCATGCATGCCAACACTCATTTTGCAAAACAAAAAATAAAGTTAAAATTACCTTCCTCTGCTTGAACACTACTTGTTAAGAACAGAGAAACACTATTTTTCTTGCAAGGGTTCCATTTTATCACCCTGCATGGGGATCGTCTGATAGGTAAGCGGTTAGTTACTGTAGGGTTCTGTTGCACATAATTTGTGTACACCACCATTGTACCTGATTAAACAGATTGAGGTGTAAATGAGGGTTAAATGTTAGTAGTGCATTGTTAATACCTGTGCTAGAGCTGTTATCAGTAGTATCAAGCCTGATTAGATCGCTCACGAAGAGTATGTGCTCCCCTGAGTTAGACTCGTTAGAACTATCCACGCTAGGATGTCTCACCATGTTCCCATCATTCCAAAGTGCAGCACTCTGAGAAGCTGAAGTATAAATACCAGTTATCACACGCATGCCAACATGAAGATGCAAGAAGTTTAGTAGACCCATTATAAAAATTATATATTAATTATAATTAAGTAAAAGATAAATCTGGGAGATTTCATGATTTGATAATTTACCCGTTATTAAAGTTGGCATAACATCGAATGGAATAAGTATAGCAAAAACAAAAAATATGAGCAAAATATCAGAATTTGGTCTAATTCTGAATGCCCCCCAACAATTTTGGTATTGGACCATGAATACAATGAACAATCTAATTCATGCAATGCTGGCCGTCACAGAAGGAAATACACTAACAAGAAGAGAGCCAGAAAACTGCAGGCCGTAAACAAACACAGAATTAATTTTAGCAGAAGAGATGGGGAATATACCCAATTATTAATTATTTTTCAAGCAGAAAATGGACTCTAATGTGTAGGAAAGTGTTAATAAATTACATTATGTCATTACTGTGCGCAGAAATGCCCCATAGTACAAATCTTTGTAAAAAAAAACAAAACATGTCAACATTAAGAGAAAGAATTAATAAATGCAGAGCATCTAAAAATTATTCAAATTACTTGGATCTGACAAGGTCCTAGAGGTGTTCTGGGTTTTCTTCAACGGCCTTCGGAATTGTGATAAACCACGTACCACGTTCCGGACTTTGGTCCATAAAAAGGTTCCACTACGATTACTACTGGGCCACTGGCCAAGTAACACGACCTAAACAACAAAACATTACTCCAGACATTTATTTGGTGCATACAGACTCACGTTTATATGATCATTCTGGTGATTAAAATACTCTACCTTGTTATAGTAGCCATAGGTAATTGCGTTGGGCTGTATCCCAGCATTTTTCATTTCAAACAAGACTCTCACTGCTAGAGCAGGGATCTCGTGAATCCCACACAACTGCATAACAACTCTGTAACACACCTGAACAAAAAGAATTAGAAATACAGTTAGAAGATTGCACAACAGATGTTCAGAGCAGACCTTAACTAGAAAACACAATGCATTCTTTGTCAATACTTTCAGAAAAGGAATGCAAAAGTTACATTTAATTATGTGTTAAAAGGCAAAGTCTCTGCTCCAGAACCACAGATCTTGGATGAAAAAATGGAATGTGTTAAGTGGAAACAGGGTGTGGCACTGAGAAAGAATCTTTAGAAAATGTACAATTATTACCATTGCCACAAATAATTTCTCTATTTTACAAATACTGACCTCATCCAATGGATCCACTTTGTCTTTTCTCATTTTTACAAGCACCTCATATGCTTTCTGAAGAGCACGAGATCTTGAACAAGAAACCTTGACATGAACTGGTAAACAAATGAACCACAAGCTGTAACACTGGCTGAAGAGACACTTGGCCCAGTCTTGAGCATTTGTGTAATATTTCTTGGCCACTTTATGAGCAGTTTTAATTTCCTACAAAATTAATAAAAACAAATTTAAATTCCAAACACTGCAACAATACCTTTAGTAGTACATTTATTCTTGATCATTTGGGTATATTATGTTTGAGTGACTAATGGATATACACTGGCAGAGTATACTGTCAACTTAAGGGGATACTATAGACATCAAAACAACTTTAGTTTCATGAAGCAGTTTTTGTTGGTGTACAGATGAGGTCCCTGGAGTCTCACTTACTTTTTGTTTCTGTTAATGCAGGCCTAGCCACTGGCTGTAATTCACACAGCCTCCTTGCAAAAAAAGGTTTCATTTTCAATCAGATGTTAACTTGCTTTAAAAGTTTATCTACTGGTGTGTAAATTGAACTTTAATTACACAAAGACGGCTTATGCAGGCTCTAGAAGGCTATTAAAAGATCAAACAGACTGTGCAATAAAGGAACCTAAATTATCTAGGTTCCTTTTTCCAAAGTGTTTAGTAAAGCTCTGCAAGTCGCATGCAGGGAAGTGCATAAACAAAGTGAATTAATGCCTACGTGGCAGAGAATTGAGCAATGAGACTGCAGGGACATGCTGTATACACCAAAACTGCTTCTTTAAGTTAAAGTTGTTTTGATGTAGTTTACCTTTAAATATGCAACCAATTGCTCTATACTGAAGTGAATTTCTTTAAGTGCTCTCCCCAAACAGCTGCTGTTTATCATTGTTCACTATTTCATGTACTTTTATTTTCTGTACATGATTTATTGAAACATTCTATAAATACATAATGTTTAAGAAAAAAAGGTTTAGTGGCTGATAATATTAAGACATATGTAGTTAGTTACTATGTTAGTTTGCTATGGACTGCATAGGGTAAGACAGACTGTGAGGTTAGATTTTAATGGAATTAAAAATCCAGGGTACAGTTATCTTTTTTTCATCTAGCCCACAACTCCTTGTTTTTCAAATTTAAATAAACTAAAGCAATTTTAAAGGAATGCTAAATCTAAAATAGAGTTTGAACAAAAGGCTATAAAATTTAATTTACAGCACACATAAATGTAGATGAAATAATTGCCATATATCTTTCAGTAAACATAACTCCGAAGCCTTTATAATACATGTTGTACACATGACAAAGTTTAACAAACTGTATCAAAACCCAACAGACCATCTGTTTCCAAACCAGTCTCTCATGCACACTCAACTGGCAAGGTTTTGGCAACTCTAGAACAAAAATGAGAAATCCCTAAATCCTGAACCTTTTGGGTGCGTGAATACTGATTTGAAACCACTGATCAAGACAGCAGGCAACTTTATAGAAGTAAACTAACTTGTTTTGTCCTTTTTGCAATGAAATCAGGGCTGCTTGCAGACCGTGTACTTTTGGTATGGCCATTGAATGAGAGGTACTGATCCCGAGTCCATTCAAAAAGAGAGTAGTCAAGTCGTGGAAAGTTCTTGTAACTATTGGATAAAACATTCATGCATAAGTTGTCATTGCACAACTCTTGTACAACACAAGCAATACAGAATAATTTAATCAGTAGATTTATGGCACTGTATTTAAATTCCACATCCATCATAAGACACCATGTACCTATGAGATTCCAGGTTTATAGGCGATACTGCTTAGTTCTCCCCTACACCTCACAGAACTATTAATTTCTCCTATTTTATTTTTAAATGCAAATAAGTAAAGTTTTCATTCTGCAGTAGGCAAGGACAGCAAGTACAGCTTAGCTTGGAAGTGAGTGAACAGGATTAATGGGTATGGAAAGAATGTAAGTGTAGGCTTTGGATTCAGCTGAATTGGAGTTGCTCTTCTGTATCTCTAAAGCGCCATACAGATGCATAATTAAGCAAATGACGGCCACGTATGTTCGTTTGATTTGGTATTCAGTGTTCTGCCCACTGGCCAAAAAATAAAAAGGCAATCTAAATCTACTTCTCTTTTTATCTCTATTGCCCTCTATTGGTTACTCTCTCACTTGATCTGTCAACCATATGGCATGAAAATGCACCAGTGTACTGCAAAATATATCACTATAAATAAAATGTACATGTCATTTTTTACATCCTTTTTGGTTTGTCAAAATGTTTTCCTGAATATTTTTCCATTCACAATATTTCCCTGAACCAAAAGGAATAGATATTTGCTGCCATGCACAAGTCTACTGGCCACTACAAAAACCATCATCCGCAAAGGCCATGGAGAAGTGAGCTTTATTTCCCAGTCTCTCATGCATACACAGTACTAATAAGCAATTTCTATAGACAATAAGAAGGCATGTACAGGAGCCAGATGCAGCTGAATTCATAAAGTTATTCATTTTATTTAAGTTTAAATGGACCTAATCCATGCATTTAGCTTCATTATCCTTTTTGCTAATCCAGCCGTATCCATGATGCATTGTAAAGCAGTTTCACAAAGGGAGTTTCACTTTAATCAGACTCATGCAGTTCTATCAGACATTAGATCACTCATTTTAAGTGGAGCAATTCATACTTGTATATTAGATGTGTTTACATATTTGAAGCTAACATTGTTACCCACAAGCTATAGTTATGTTAGTGAAGAAGGGTATTTTGTTTTATAAGCTTCTGGAACCAAATAGTAATGTGGATAATATACTGTGCTATAAATGACGAATGCAACACAATATAAAACAAAAACAATTTAAAATAGGAGGCCAGGCCATGAAATCTTCAATCATTGAAACAAACAAATAAAAGTATCTTTGTTTAGAATCCTGGACTAGTACAATGCTAAGCAGGAAATGTCTGTGTGCAAATTATCACAGCAAACCATTTAACTGACCAATGGAATAGAAATAAAGAGGAGACTTTTTTTTTTTTTTTAAAAGAACAATGGATGTTTTTTTTAGGCACCTGTATTTTGGGAGGGGATCAGGGCCGTCCTCTGGCAGCGGTTCTGGTGGCATTATGAACACTGTGTGTTCACTCTTTTGGGACTCATCCAGCTCTATCAGCCGAGTGTCTTCGGCGACTTCCAGATCAACCTGCAACAACAGAGGACACCAGTGCACAGAATAAATGACAGCGGAGTATAAAAAGAGAGAAAGATAAGTAAGCACGACAGTGACATTAACAGATGAACAGCATGAGAATAAGAAGAGGCGCAAGGCAGATGCCATGAATAGATTTTTGCTGTTGCTTGAAGTAAGCAGAGTATATTTAAAAATAATAAGCAGGGCATACCTTATCCCCCTTTTCCGCGCCTTTATCAGGAAACAACTAAAACAAATAAACATTTGCATAATTTGCGCATAAGTATATTATTAGTAGAACTATTTATTAAACAATAAATATGATAGATAAGGTTACCAAAATGACCATGTACAGGTTTCAAATTTAACAACATACTCTATCGGGTTATAACAAGTGGCAGTATATTAATCTCCCTTGATATGATATATGGGGGGATTTAATGAATGGAAGATGCTGGATGAGTGATAAGTGCAGTTCAAGAGCTAAGTTTATGCAATCACGATGGAAACCATGAAATATGACGACTGCTCCAGTTTCCGAACTGGTCTCTTATCTATACCTATAATAATGAAGTGAATAATCTAGATGAGAAGAGACCTTGAGTCTTGTACACATCAAACATTTTCAAATCTTAAATGGTTTTATTTTTAGTAGTTTTATTTTAAATACTCTCACTAGCAATATTTCTACCAACCCCTCTAGTGATTCCCTTAGTACCTTTTCAATGCAGTCATCAAAGAAAGCCAAGCTGGTATCTTTATCGCTGACGAAACTGCATTCTTCAATGAAGCGGATGAAAATCTGTGTTTTTGTCAGCAAAGAGTAGAATTTCGTGTGGGCTCTATCCCTGCTTTTCAGAAAGCCTGGAATAGCAGACGTGCAGTCAATGTTACTAATCAATGTATTTGAGTAAGATCAGAAAACAATTGACTTAAAAGGGCACTATGAACCAAAATATTTATAGCATGCAAGTAGTTATGGTGCCAGGAGCACGTGTGGCAATCGGTGCACTATGCCATCATCATGCTATGTGTTATGATGCAGAAAGTGAAAAACATAGGTCCCAAGCACAGAGTGCTTTAAATGGCTAACCACAGTTTTCTTAAAAATGTATATGAAAGGTTTCGATAACTGCATCAGTTCACTCAGGGCAAAGCTATGGAAACCATTTAAACGAAGAGGAGAGGAGAAATAGAAACAATGTATAATTTTTCATCTTTTCTTTAAGCTGACATTTACAAAGAACAATGACTGACAGAGAGCTAAAATGGAGGTACCAAGATATGTGGATTTCTACATGTAAAGGGTTACTCAGAGCACCATAACGACTTCAGTGTTTTGAAGTGGTCATGTAGTTTGAAGTATGTCTATGTGCAGCATTTCAGTATAAAATCTGCACACACAGATATATCCAGTTAAGGTGCCATAAGTCCCAACTCCAGGAGCATCTTTAGCCAACCTGGAACAAAATAATTCTGGACTGATGAATGACAATGGCTGTAGATATTTCTTTGCAGACACTCATTCATGGCTGAGAGCACTCAGCTAATGCTCTCATCCAATGAATGAGCTGCTGAATGGGAATTAGCTTTTTTGCAAGCTCTGCAGTAGCTGGATGCGTTAAAGTCGCCATTGTGGCACCCTTAGCACCAAATAGGAAAAAGGTAAAAGGGCAAACCTTTGCAAAACATTGTGTCTCATTACTAGTGGGAACAGCGCCATGGTAATCTAGGCATCATAACCACTTTAGCCTTTTACTTTTATTTTTCCCCACAAACAAATTACATTTTCGTTAAATAAATAAAAAAAGATGATTGTACATTATTAGTTTTAGGACTGTGAGTGGTGAGAAAGAAATATGATTGCTCCCATCATGTGGGAGACAAAAGTCATGCAACAGAAGTTCTTCGAAAAGAAGAACAGGAACACCGAATAGAAACTGACTGCATTTATTTATTTTTTATTACCTTGATGGTCAAACAGAGAATTTGCAGCTGTGGCTTTGTTGGATGGTGCCCCTGTAATGGGTTTCAAGTATGACCTGTATCCTTTCAATATGGAAGCCATGAAACGTAGGAATGCTTCCTGGACTTCCATTTCTAATTCCTTCATTTTTCTTTGCCAAGTGAAGTCTGCTTCAATCGGTGTCACCTCTAGTGCAGACTCTTCCTCGCTCTTTCGATGAGATTCTAAATATAATAAATGTCAGCACGGCTAAATACATATCGTTATACAAAATACTTTACATTGTTGGCACTAGCCTACCTGAAAATAGCTGTTTGTGAAGCTTTTTTAGGACTGTGAGGAGGTTTTTTGCTGGTTTCTTTGGAAGCTGCTTCCAGTTAACACTTCTCTTATCCTCTGACCTGCGCCAAAAAGCAAACATCAAGTGGTACAAGAGCATACAGCAAGTAAAGCAGATAAACACAGCACTGCTTTTCTGATCTATATTCTGATCTACATTAAAGCAAAAAAAAAATAAAAAATCAACTACTAGTATTTCACACAAAGTCAAATAAGCTTGATACATTCCAGAAACCTGTCAAATATTAGTGGACATGGCTTACAAACATGGTAAACCTTTTTTATTTTTAAAGGAGGAAAAAAAACAAAGAATTACTATAGGCACGCAGACCACTTCATCTAATTGAAATGATCAGGGTGTCCCTGCCCCTCTTAGCCCTGCAATGTAAAACATTGCAGTTTCAGAGGAACTGCACGGTTTTATTGCAGGGTTAAGACTGCCTCTGGTGTTGTGCCTCAGACAGCCACTAGAGGTCCTCCATGCATTTACACAAAGTTTAACTCCATGAAACAATGCTGGACATCCTTACACTTTGCATGAGGAAGTGCAGAGTCTTCAAATCCCCATAGGAAAGCATTGATTCAATGCTCACAACACATGCGCATTAGTTTCTCCCAATTGGTTAGAGGAAGCAGAGACCGAACCAGCGCTGAGAGACCTTTTTTTAAACCCTTTCCTCAACCTGGAGGGGTGCCTTATGGCTGACCGACACTTTTGTATGCCTAACGTTATAGTGTTCCTTTATTACTAAATTATAAGTGGAAAGGAAAAGATTATTTTTACATTTTTTATTTAGTCTTTTTTGAGATGGAAGACTGATTCCACAATAAGAGAAAGCCTTAGTGATTCAATGAAAAGTGAATTAATTATATAACAAATCTAAACATATGTTTTCACTACAAAATTGCTAACAAATTCCAAACCACAATAAATAAATAAATAAATTAAAAAAAAAAAAATATATATATATATATATATATATATATATATCCCTATTAGAATATTTTTCAATGCATATCTTGTGTTGCATAAAGTTATAACTCTTAGCACAAAGTTGAGACTTCATGAATACCATTTTCTAAGGATCTGGAAGGCACAGCAAGCCTTTTCATTCAATACACGGCTGAATGGGAACTTAAAAGAGATTAAGGCAATATTCATAAAATGGAAAGGCTGGGGTGCAAAAAAATAAAGTCTTATGATCATACAAGTACAGAAACAATATATAAATACAATAAAGCAGAGAGAGTGTGTGTGTGTGTGTATATATATATATAAATAAAAGTAGAATATACCTTGCACTCAGGCTTAAAACTTGCCAAACCGGGTGCAATACCAGGGCTTGAATATCCAAATGGTAAAGTAGTATGGCTGCACTCACGGATTTCCAATAAAATTTAACTTTTATTCCAGTTTCTTAAAATAGATCAACGTTTCAGTCCATGTTGTGGACTTTCATCAGGATCCTTGACAGCCATACTACTTTACCTATATATATATATATATATATATATAAAACAAAGTTCTACTTTAAAAATGTAGTTATGAATTTAGTTACATATCAAGCCAAACAAGGATGTATGACATTGTTTAAGAAGAGATCATTGCCCTTACTGTGCTACGCAAGCAACTCTCATTGTGACTAATTATAGTAACTATGTAGTATAGGCCAAGACAATGAATTAACACATATCTGTCATATTGTAACACACTCACGTGTAAACCATGCTCGTATCCAGGTCGATACACACAACATCCTGGGGTGGGTCACATATATCAAAGTATCGAGAGTCAACCCCAACGATAAAGGGTATTGGAGCATTCAGCAATTCGGCCAGAGACAGGGGGCAGAGAGGGATATATGGACACTGCCACTGGAAAGGAAAGATCATCTGGAGGACAAGAGATCGTCTAGATGTTTAAATTGGTAGGTTTCAAAGTAACAAGTGCACTTTCATTGAAATGTTTTATATATTAAACTAACTTTGTAAAACTATTTATTTTGTACAGGCACTTTTTAAACAATAATAATTCTTTCAACAAGGGCAACACTTAAGGACATATTGTTCCAGAAAACTTCTACAATGAATGGTATAATGTATGCATAAACATTACACAGCAGTGTTGGCGGTTAAATGGCACATAGGAGATAAGCAAAAGGAAGGATGTTAATCTTCAAACAAATCATCTGCTACAAGAGCTAATTAACTGTAAGAAGCATGTGTAAAGAAAACTTTTGTGGCGTACTTGAGAAAAAAAACTGCAAACCTTAAACCGAAATAGTGCACCTGGACAGGTGTTCAAGCTGAAAAATTTCTAAATCAGCAATTTTGGGCTACAATTTTCAATAATCCTATGGAAATTATCCAGAATTCACATTTTAGAGAATGAAGGTCCACACATACCTAATGCTGAAGAGGGGTAATTCTTGCCACCTTAATATTGCCTTTAAAGGGTTACTGCAAGCAACCATGACCACTTTAGTGATTTGAAGTGATTATGGTATGTGGAGTCTGTATGGGCAGTGCTTCACAATGAAACAGTGCACATACTGAGATGAACTTCTTTGCTGTCAGTGGTGTAACTCCGCCTCAGTCAGCATCATTGGGGTGTCATCAGCCCAGGACTAGAGTTCAGTCAATTCTGTGCATATGCTTATGCACAGACTTATAATCATTGGCTGACAGATGCCAGCTGACGCGGTCTGCCAATGAATGGCCTGCATGATCGGCATCCAGCTCTGCTGATGCTAAATATACACCACAGCCAGCCATAGAGGAGACTGGCGCCCGGCAGGATCAGGTAAGAGGACAAAGATTTGCAATCTGGGGTCAGGATACTTCTAGCATCATAACCACTACAAATTGCTCTTCAATTATGGCAGAGACAGCCTAATGGATCAATAAAACAGACTGAGTAATCAATATATTTGAAAATGTCATTTATGACGGAAATACTTAAATATATATTGATAGCTTGGTCCCCTACTGTTCTTGATTTATACGGCCTCCCTTGGTAAACTCATCAACTCCTTTGGTTTCCAATATCACTTCTACGCAGATGACACGCAAATCTATCTGTCCTCCCCTGATCTCTCCCAGCCCCTTTTGACTAGTGTCTCTGACTGCCTCTCTGCCACCCACTTCCTTAAACTCAACTTGTCCAAAACAGAACTTCTGGTCTCCCTCCCCTACGCACCCCCCCCTTTAAGTGTTGCTACTCCCGTCTCTGTCTCCCTCCATGTTAATGGTGCTACCATCAGCTCCACCATGCAGGCTTGCTGCCTAGGTGTTCTCTTTGACTCAGATCTCTCCTTCACCCCTCATGTCCAGTCAATCGCCAAATCTTGCTTCCATCTTAAAAACATTGCATGCACTTAACGCCAGATGCGGCTAGGGTGCTGGTCCATGCCACTGTCCTTTCTTGCCTTGACTACTACAATCCGCTTCTCTGTGGTCTTACGTGCTCCCAACTTGCCGCACTGCAGTCTATAATGAATGCGGCGGTGAGGCTTATCTTCCTGTCCGCCCACACCTAGTATGCTTCACCCCGCTGTTAGTCCCTGCATTGGCTTCCTGTAAGATATAGGGCTCAATATAAAATTCTGGTTCTTGCTTTCAAAATTGCTACATAATGCTACTCCCACCTATTAATCCTCCCTAATACACAAGTATGTCACGTCTAGGCCCCTGCGTCTATCCTGTTCGTACTCCCACCTCTGATGCTCGCCTTCAAGATTTCTTTAGGGCTGCACCACTCCTGTGGAACTCCCTTCCCTTCTCCGTTAGATGCTCACCCAGTCTCCACTCCTTCAAAAATCATTAAAAACTCACTTTTTCACAAAAGCGTATCAATTAAACGGTTAATGGCTCCAAAAAAAACCCCAAAACACACTATGTCTTCATTGAGTACTATTCTACTTCCCTAATACTTCCCTTACCTTTTTGTGTCATTTTACACCACTCTCTCTAGCATGTAAGCTCATTGAGCAGGGCCCTCAACCCGTCTGTTCCTGTGTGTCCAACTTGTCTGATTACAATTACATGTTTATTAGTCCACCCATTGTAAAGCGCTACGGAATTTATTGGTGTTATATAAATTAAATAATAATAGCATCAAATGTGCAGTGACCTGGACCATTGTTGGGATGGCTTTTAGAATTCTTACATGATTGCTTGGTAGTCATTACCAAACTTCTATTAAATATTATATTGAATATACAGTTAAATAAGAGCTGTTACCTCCAAGAATTCTAATATATTATTTATGCAATATTCAACAAATATGTATAAAATCAAGTGTTGAAATCTACAACTCTTCATCTGCTAACGTGCACCTCTATCTTGGCTACCCATGAATTAGCGCTATAAGTTCTGCCCCTTGCACCTGGCAGTCAGAACAAAGAAATCATAACCAATAAAAGGATTAAATGAAACAATGTGTATATTTATTCTATTCATTTGCTATGTGTGCCCTGATTTTGCATTGTCTGAACTGGATCATTAAGTAATTATTTAAATCTCTAATATAATATACAAAATAAACCAAGCAGCTCATGAAAAACATTAAATGTTATAGGTAATTTTCAATGTTTATTTTTTACATTAGAGCATTCCTTAAATGCATGAAGGGCCTTGAGCAATAAATGATTAAAGAGATGATGTAATTTGCCAAATCTTTAAAACAATAAAAAGTTAATAGAAAATGGAGCATCAATGGAGTCATTTTCAGAATAGCGACCATTCCCCTTTAATTATGCATATTTATATCACAACAAGTATTTTTAGACATAGAAAAAGTAGCACAGCATATTTAAAGCGGCACTGTCATGCCGAACTTACCTTTCCTCAATCTCTTCCTCTTCTCCCCCTCTCTCAGGATCTGTTCTTCTTTTCTTCCCGTCTTCTTTAGTTTTCTTTAAAATCATAAGACAAAGTAGGGACTCTTTGCCTTATGGAGGATTCCTCCGCTTGACCAGCTCTGACCAGCGGAGGAGCAAAGTGTGCTTCATTTCCGCTGGTCAGAGCAATTTTCCCATGATCCTTCCTTTTCCTCTGTGTTCCCGCGATGCTTCCTGTCACTTTACACTAAACTGCCGGATTGCGTTCTAACTGAATGAGAACAATAGAACTCAATTCGGCATTTTGTTCGGATCGCAATTTCATTCGAATGAATGAAACTCCGATCCTATTCATTGCCGCAGCTGCATCTTGCAGCCGCTTAGTAGATAACTCCCTAATTCCCACGGTATCAGGGAGCTATCTACTAAAAGGATGAAAGACCTAAATTGGTCTTTCAGCCAACTTTACTAATACTAAGTAAAGGTTACTTAGTATTAGTAAATAATATGCCCCTACTCGCTATACCGCGAGTAGGGGCATGTCTGGTAAACAGTGAGCAAAAAAAACTATTGGCCCCCACCCCTAAACGACGGATAGGGGCCCTAAAGTAAAATAAGGGGGGAGACCTAATGTCCTCCCCCACCGGCCCCCACCCCTGAGTGGCGGGTGGGGGCCTTTATGATAATGAGGGGGGGACCTACTGTCCTTCCCCCATGGCGGCGGGTGGGGGCCATAATGATAATGAGTGGGGCACCTACTGTCCACCCCCCCTCTGGCCCCCACCTCTGGGCGGCGGGTGGGGGCCATAAAGATAATGAGGGGGGGACCTACTGTCCTCCCCCCCCGCCCCTGGGCGGCGGGTGGGGGCCACATGATAATGAGGGAGGGACCTACTGTTCACCCCCCTCTGGCCCCCACCCCTGGACGGTAGGTCCCCCCCCTCATTATCATTATGGCCCCCCCCCCGCCACCCAGGGGTGGTGGGGGGGGACGGGATGACGACAATAGGTCTCCCCCTTTATTTTATTTTAGGGCCCCCACCCGTCGTTTAGGGTGGGGGCCAATAGTTTATTTTTTGTTTTTTTACAGTGAGCAGCCACAGGCTGTTCACTGTTTACCATACATGCCCCTACTCGCGGTTTAGCGAGTAGGGGCATGTGGGAGATTTTAATCTCCCTTATAATATTATGGGGGTCATATTGACCCCCATAGAGTGAGGAGGGGCCTGCCGCTTCTATAGTTACATATTACAAGCAGGGAGCTGCGTGCCGGTAGCTCCCTCCTTGTAATAAACTGAGCGAACAAACGAACACTGATACACAGTGTTTGTTTGTTCGGCTGATATTTCTATTCACTCATTTGTCTGTCTGATGAATGAATGAATAGATGAAATTCCCGTTCGCATGTCCAGGTGTTTCACTGGGCATGTGCGGGAATCTCACAGTCCATCTAGTGTGGGCAGATGATGTGTCCCACAGGGACTTCATCTACCCACACAAAGATGGCTGCGCCCTGAATCAAGATCGGGGCAGAAAATGAGGAATACAAAATAGGTAATGTGGGGGGCTTAGGGGCATTTGGGGGTGACTAGGGTGTCAGTTAGATGTAGAGGAGGCAGGAAGGGGGTTAAAAAAACAGGATTCGGCATGACAGTGCCGCTTTAAAGGCAAGATTTTTCTGGGACATATTTAGCTAACCGGTGAAATGCAAATGTGCATCATAAAAGGATTAATAGTGCTATCTTACAACTTAACAAAAGCGCAGGCACTTTACATGTTTACAAGCTCGGCCGCAGGGTGTAATCAAAGCACAAAGAACAAAGGAATGCAAAAGTATGAATTGTGCCAAGGCCCTATAATTGCATGCAAAAAAATGTGAGTATATACAAGCAGCTAAGGACGATGTACGTTTTATCCTTACAGCAACAACGGCTTCTGCTACTCCAGTCAGCACAGCAGGTCTCAGGGAATGCAGCAGAATCTTGCTCTCAATGAGGACAAACAGCAACAAAGTCGCACAGTTTTCAGGTCCCAGACTCAAAAGCAATGTGCTAAAATCTGCACCACTAAAAAAGGGGGAAAACAGAGACAAAAAAAAAATGAATTCTGTATTAATAACCAGGAACAATACAGACATACAATAGCAACTTTATTAACACCATCTATTGTAAATCGTTTAAAACAGCAAACAGACCAGGCCAACATACAGAAATCTGTCACCCATTACTAACCATTGCATAACTTTACTACATACATTGAAAAGAAAAAAAAAAACATGCAAAATTAAGCCCTGTTTTCAAACTCCCACTACTCCTGGGCAGAAGCAATGACTATCAGCCACAATACATACACACACACAAAAAAAAAAAAAAAAGCCTCTTGTATACTATCCCAAATCCTATGCACATTTAAAAACTGAAAGTTTTTAGTATAACTCAAATGGCCATTCAGGTATAAGCTCACCTGCAACGTCAAGGGAAACCTCTCAGGTAAGTCCTACACTAATAGTTCCCGTTGCTGTCTACAGACAAAAGGTAAAATCTCTAATGAGACAAAGGGAGGTATTTTTCTAAACCCTTAGATACTGGCATCCACCCTTTGACATGTCAAGTGAGCTTAAACTTAAGGGACACTGTAGGCACCCAGACCACCTCAGCTCATTTAAGTGGCCTGGGTGCAGTGTCTCTTTTGCACTTAGTGCTTCAATGTAAAACATTGCTGCTCTAAGTCTGCCCTCTGTGGCTGTCTACCAGACAGCCACTGGAGGGCTTCCAGAATCCAAGCGGACTTTTGGTCCGTTATCGGACGCTGGATGTCCTCACAGACCTCCAGCGTCAGATTTTCCCCATAGGAAAGCATTGAATAATGCTCTCCTATGGGGAGGTCTAATACGCGGTGGGGGAGGAGCGTGGGTGGAACCTGACCCAGCGCCGAGTGACATCGGTGCTGGATTCAGGTAAGAGGCTGAAGGAGTTTTTACCCCTTCAGCCCCGCGGGAGATGGGGCGCGAGGGAAGGGTACCTGTAAACCCTATAGTGCCAGGAAAATGACATTGTTTTCCTGGCACCATAGGATCCCTTTAAATAGGCATTGAAGTGATACTAAAAACCATCCAGTTATTTAAATATGCATAGAGATTTGTGATAGTGCACAAGTAACTTTTTGTATTCTTTTTTTATTGTATGAATTGAAAAAGAAGAGTTTATTTTTTTTACTCCAATCAGGATAGTTTTAACTTCTAGTTAATACCAATGTTGAGTTAAGTCAGGTACCTTGTGACTTGATATTTTGGTAGTCACAATTTTAAATCCTGACTACCACATCAACAGCTACAGACCACCATTTATGCCCAAATTACTATTTGAGTGAACACTTATTTACAGTTGCTGGAGAAATTATATTCATCACAGAGACAAGACACACATGTTAACAACACTAAAAAGAATGACTTAATTTCATTTTATTTTTTAATGTATGGTCATATATATGGGAACCACAAGTTCAAAAATATAGGTAATCCCTCTTGGGACCAAAGGAGTTTTCCTGGCTCACTTAAAGAACTTCAGTCCACAATTGAATCATACAGCTACGAGGAATAGTATTACTGAAATATTTAAAGTCAATAATGTTCTTAATACAAATTACAAGTTTAAATTAACATTTTGCTACAGCAAAAAAAAAAAAGATGGTAAACATTAAAGAATGAAGAACTACCTCAAAGGCAAAGGGGTTGCCACGGGTTGTGAAACCATCAAGGTGTCATGTGCAGACAGCTGCAGAGAGAGATGAAAAGAGCAAAGGATTAAATAACAAGCTGTACACAAAGACCCATATGACATGGAAGCGATTAATCCTCTGCCAAACCCACGTGTACACTCACTACACAATGTCTGCAGATTCCTGTTAATGCATACACAAAGGAAGGTTACAGTCATAAAAATACTGCACTCACAGGACTAAAAAATAAATTAAAAAATGAAATTTTTTTAAAAAAAATCTGTCATTCATCATCTCTAGCACCTAGGATAGAGAACATCAAGCAGAGTAGGCCTCATGGAATCACCACAAATACAAATTATTTATTACAAAATTAACAGATAACGGTCCAGATAATGGTAAAACTAACCAAATTGTTCTCTCTTGGTATATAAGGTTTACCAGGTGTAGCGGATTTTAAATCTCACTGTTGTTACATTGCTCTTTATGTTTCTGTGCTATGTTTACATAATCATTCACTCTTACCTGTGCTCCCTTCTTTGTTATTCCTGAAAATATGATGATTCACAAAATATGAAAAAGTTGACTTCATAACTTAAAGGAACCCTCTAAGCATCATAACCACTACAGTGCACAGTAGTGGTTATGATGACAGGAGTATCCCTTGGGCCCCTTTGCTGTAATGTGTGGAAACTGTTTTAGAAAGCTTTGACTTCTTACCTGGGGCCCCCGATTCCTGCTTCCACTACTTATGAAGAACCTGAAGTTCTCCAGTGCAGATCTTAGCTCACGGACAGCCAGTAAGCTAGCCCCACTTTGCTAATGGTAGCTCCTGCTTAGTCTCTGCATAGGAAGTAGTAGAGGTGGAGAGCAGTACCTGGCGAATCCCACCAAGAAGTCAAACGGTTAGTTTTGGCTCCTTACGACAGGTCAGTGCCAGGGCACACTTTGTACCATAACCACTATATAAATTTGTAGTGGTTATAGTGCTTGCAGTGTTCCTTTTGATGTTACCTAGTGTAAGGAGAGAGAAATAAAGAACGAGAAAGAAAGAATGAAAGAACAAAACGAAAAAGAAAAAGAGAAAGAAAGCGAAAGAAAGAAAAAAAGAAAATGAAAAAGGAGAAAGAACAAAAAAAAAGAACAAAAAAAAGGAAGAACAAAAAAAGGGAAGAACAAAAGAATGAAAAAAAAGAAAGAAGCAAAAAAAAAAAAACCCCAAAAAAACACGAAAGTAAGAAAACTTCATTTGTCCTGCGATAACACAGTAAAATGATAGAAAGCAGCAATGAGAAGGTCAATAGTTATGTTCCACCTTGTAGCTGAAACCACACCCACCTACAATGTCTTCAAATACTAATAGTTTTATTTACTAAAGTGAGAACTGTCTGCACTTCAAAGTGAATTTGAAAAGTCTGCATCCAGTTTGGCTACTTGACCTTAAAGGGACACTATAGACACCAGAACAACTGCAGCTTATTGAATTTGTTCTGGTGAGTAGAATCATTACCTTCAGGCTTTTTGCTGTAAACACTTTCTTTTCAGAGAAAATGCAGTGTTTACATTGCAGCCTAGTGATAGCTTCACTGGCCACTCCTTAGATGGCTGTTAGAGATCCTTCCTGGGTCATGGCTGCCTAAAATGCATCCAAACATTCAGTGTCTCCTCCCTCTGCATGCAGACACTGAACTTTCCTCATAGAGATTCATTGATTCAATTCATCTCTATGAGGAGATGCTGATTGGCCAGGGCCGTGTTTGAATCATGCTGGCTCTGCCCCTGATCTGCCTCTTTGTCAGTCTCAGTCAATCCTATGATGAAGCATTGTGATTGGATCAGGCTACTGTTTCTGATGATGTCAGCAGACTGCTTGTTTTTCTGAGGCAAACAGCATGCAGAGGTATAGCTTCAGGTTAGAATACAAGTAAGATTTTGCTATATTTATGAAGGCATGAGGGTTGCAGGGGGGCTAGTTGGTGGTTTTAACACTATAGAGTCGTGAATACATGTTTGTGTTCCTGACCCGATAGCGTTCCTTTAAGTTTGAAATTTGAATTCCAGACAATTCTTAACTAACTCTGTAGCTGGATACATTTGTAGAAGCAGCATTTTTTCCCCTGTACAGTTTTTGAAGTGACCAATCATCGGTGAGTTAAATATTTAAAAGGTTATTACGAATCTGTTTCTACTGCGGAAAAAAACAAAAAAACTTGAAGTAAGAATGAACAGCAGATTAGGGACATCTGTACAATACATTATTCTGGTCTATTTATGTATATGATGCCAACACTTTCTACACTGCGGTGACAATAAGAAAAGGAAATAATAGCATGTAGTGTGGCATAGAAAAGTATGAGAGTCCTACTGACACACTTCTAATTTGAATGGCTTCAGAGGACACAAGCTACATACTGTACTACACAGAAGAAAATAAAGGTTATTTACCTGAACCTGGATTCTTGGCCTCTGGGGAGATGGGAAAGGCACATTGTGCATGAAGTGTGATATGTATCTGCAAAGATAAATAAATAAACAAAAGGAAATGAACTATGTGTATTTCCATAATATGACTTTAATGAATCAACATACAAATAATTGTTTTACAAAAAAAAAAAATGCTGTTTCTCTTTTAAGAAAACAATCTCTCTATAAAATGCCTTACTTTTGACGTTTCTGTATTTACTACTAATGCCAAGTAACTCATGAGACGACATATATGGTACAAGCTAATAAAAGCAGCTAAATTAAGGTGAGGACTTGTACTGTCTGCATCCAAGCTGGTAAACTTATTGCAGTATAACCCATGCAAGGAACATGTTATGATGAGTTTAGTGCCCCTTTAACAGGCCATCAACATAACCACTACAGTCCAACCTGGGAAACACAGATTGGCTGGAAATCTGGGCTAACCTGCCCTCAGCATTCTTAGACATCCTGTCTTCCAGGATGGACGAAATTGTCATTAATAACGCAGAAGTGTATCAAAGGGCCAAGATGAGGCATCCCGCTTGTGCGGTGCAGAACCCTAGTTTAGTTCAAATTATTTGTAAACTGTTTGATATTCGACTAGAGGACATAGTGAGATCACTCTAGGCAACCTTTCCACTGCAGCAAGTTGTAGTGGTTATAATGCTTAGAGTTTTTCCAGTGTTCTAGAATACTAAAATATGTATTCCACATATAAAACAGTATTTTTAACCAATTGAAACCTAAATGTGGCAATCACCCCTCCTACACATCTTGTGACAGAGTATACAGACTTTGTCAGATAAGTATATGCAGAAAAGGTAAGCATAGTTTTCTATTACGATATTTGATCACTGACTATTCCACATATAAACAAATCATAAAATAACGTAAAACCAGACATTCCTGGGAATTTTATTCAGATTCCACAGTGAAAGTGCACAAACCGTCTGTCTGACACTCAGTAATGCCAAGTAAAGGCTGTCATTAAAACCAAGAAACCGTATGTGATAAAAATGTGAAAAGTCATTAGTGGGGTTTGAAGGAGTGAAAATTCCAAAAATGTTACAAAAGCTGAACTTTAACCATAAACTGTTTATAGTAAGAGAGAAGGTTTCAAACAACAGATTATTAAAGGGATAATATCAGTGCCAGGAATACAAAGCTCTAGTCCTGGCACTATAGCTCCCTTTGCCTCTCCCCTCCCTAGTCGACGTTAATCAAGGGTTAAAAACCCTTTATTTACTGATCTTAGCCCAGTGCCGATGTCTCTCGGAGCTGGGTGGCAACTCTGCTTCCTCTGACAAGTGGGCGCTAATGCGCATGCATTAGACCTCGCCATGGGAAAGAATTGAATCAATGCTTTATCTTATTCACCCCTCCCCTTTGCAAATGTCAAGTCTACAAATGCATGTTTCTATGGCAATTACTCCACCTATAAGCCCCACCCTTTTTTGTAATCAGACACTCTCACTGACAGTCACACACTAACAGCCATACACTCACTGAAAGACACACAATCTCACTGGCAGAAACACCCTCACTGGCATCAACACTGACACACTCAATGTCACACAATCTTACTGATTTGAAACACACACTGATAGAAACACTCACAGATTAATTTTATTTTTTGTTTCATTTAAAAAATATTTTTTTTAGGTCCATCTAGCCTCCCTACCTTTGGGAGACCTTATGTAGGTCCGCTCCCTGGGGTCCAGTGGCTCTTCAGTTACTCACTGCTCCCTCACGCACTGTTTAGTGATGCTGGTCGGAGAGATGTCATATCTCTGCTCCCAGCATCACCACAGAGGGAGTGCAAGGGAGCAATGAGTAACTGCAAGATCAGCGCTCCCTCAACGCCACCTGGCTCCTAGATCCCCAGTATATTTCAGCAGAGCAGGCACCTGCTGTCGAAATAAGCAGGTGATTAATCTGCCTTACTTAACAAGTCAGCAACCTCCTGGGATCCCTGTGGAAGACCATTAGCTTGCCCTCCCGTGGTGCCCACCACCTTCTGGCACCTGCCCATAATCGGCCCTGGGTGAGCCAACATAACATGGTTTTAAATTGTCATTTAAGTTCAATATTTTTCATTTTATAAAATGGTAGTCTTAAAATTATATATAACAAATAATACAGCTGTGTGCTCATGCGCTTATGACCAGCACTCTAATAAAACTGCGTTCTAGTTGATAAATTCTAAATGTATGCCATTAGACAGCCACTAGTGGCTTCACAAAATAAATTCAACTACTGAATCTATTTGACACCCAGCATCAGCATGCAAAGTATGCAGACCATTTATATATATTCAATGCTTCTCTAGAATATCGTAGATTGCTGTGATTGCCACACTTATGTGTTATGCTACCTTTGTCCAGCGCCAAAGCTTGCTCAACCCCACTGACCTCTCCACCTCCCTGATAGAGAAGTATTGGGGAACTAATGTGCATGCATTCAAGCTTCCCCACAGGAAAGCATTCAAATAATGCTTTTCTGTGAGAGCTTCTGCATCACGTAACCTCGTAAAACTGGGTCAGTGCAGTGGAATCCCCAATAGAGGTGGACTTAACCTTGCAATGTAAATATTGTGTTAAAAAAAAAAAAATTAAATTACAAACGGGACAGGGACGGTGCACCCATCTGATCTGGGTGAATCTACTGTATCAACATGTCTACAATATTTGAAACACCCACTTCGAACTTTAAATAATATTAATATATTATTTTTGTTTTGGCCTGTGTTTTAAGAAAATGTAATTACTGGTAGAAAACTTATTATATAACATACAAGGGATTGTCATAGCTATCCAAAGGACCACACTAAACTTAAAATGTAAAGTAGAAACATTTCACATAAAGTACAAATTAGTTTTTAAACAGTAACCGTGAAAGGACTCAAAGTTAATTTAGCCAAATCAGATACTATGGCACTGCCTGCTACAGAATCCAAGGTCGGTCAAAAAATTGTTTTGTTTCATTAATTATCTCAAGTTTGAAAAATGCAATGTATTTTGTGGGTGGAAAAGTCAGAGACATATTTAAAGTTTTACAACTGCTATAAAAAGAAAACAAGCATGCAGATAACTGCTGGCCTAATGTTGACCTTAACATTGTTAGTGTTTCTTTAAATAATGTTTATGCTATTATAGGATTGCAACCTTGGATGAATCATAAGCATTTTTTTCACAGAACATGACAACTAATGTCGAGTCTGGCCCTCAAGCTGTCAAGTATTCCTCTTTATAACATCTATTTGTCAAAAGATATTTACTTAGCAAAATCCTGAAAAAACTTATATATTTATCTATCCTAACGTACTGAAAAGCTATATAGGGACTGCCATCACGAGCAGATCATCAGCTTACTTATAATTACACACAAGAACAAATGCAACATGTATTAAATGGTGTAAGCAAACAGTCCACTGAACACTGCTTACGTGGTACACTATATACAATATTAGAAACACTGTTCTTCCTACTTACTTCTCAATGGGAAGTGTATTTGGACCGGACACGGACAGCTTGTAGATGAACACCAGGAATTTGCGGAAGGTCTCAAAGAAAGGCCAGTGAGAGAGCAGGCAGATGCATTTGTTGGTATTGATGGCCTTGGAGGTCAGTACTTTTTTCTCTACAGCAGATATCAGCCCCAATTGCATCATTTGTTTTTCAGACAACATTTCACGAGGGTACGGCTCATAGAATTGAATAGCAGCACCGTAAACCTTTAATAAGAAATAACATTTATTGCGAGTTGCGAAAACTTCTATAGAGCGTTAAGTGAGGTAGGATATATCTGGAAAATGTATATTTAGCCACCTGTCTGACACAGCTGCTCCCTCCCCATATAGTTTCTCTAAGTGCTAGGTTAATATCAAGGTATGATCTCGTGGGACCCCTAGTGTGACTTCATGGGATCTTTTCTTAATTTTTTGGAATAGTATTCTGGAGTAGCTTCTCTTCTGCAACTGAGCATAATAATTCTGTCATAGGGGCATTCATTTGCATAGCACATGATCAATAAAGTACATTCATTTGCATGTCATGCGCAGAAATGCACTAGCCAGAGGAAAGTGAAGAGTTTCCAGTGTGCTATACATAACAGTGGAATTACCAAATATTTTTAAAAAGAAAATAATACAGAATTGTCATTTTAATCTTTGCCATTCAGCAAAAAGGGACTTTAAGCACTATGACCATTACAGCCTTCTGCAATGTTACAGTGGCATGAGTCCATAAGTGTAACATAGGGGGTGCAGTCTTCCCGACTATCTGGGAAACCACATAACTGCCAAAACACTCCAACATTATTTGACTCCTTACAGTGAATGGGTGCATTGGGGCTCCTGGCACCATAACCACTACAGGTAGTTATGGTGCTTCGTGTCCCTTTGGAGTTCATAAAAGAAAAACAATCATTTTATAAATTAATTCTGCTTTCCAGATCATTTAAACTTACAAAAGCTCAGAAAATAAAACAAACAATTAAAAAAAAATGTCAAAAAAGATTCTAAGATAAAGCTTAACTAAAGTTCAGAATTCAAGCTAAATATACAATACTACCCCATACATATCACGTCTGCTGTAATGTGTTTGAATATTGAAAGTAGCTCAAAGTCATTCTCTGCTTGAACATGTACATAGCATCTTATATTGCAAAATACAAAAAAACAAAACAGCCCATACATAAACAGTTCCATGCATCATGCCACGCTCATTTAGTCCCAAAACTACAGTAGTTTAAAATTAGAGGACACAGGATTTTCTGTACTAGTACAAAAACAATTAACTCAACCTAAAATGGTAACTGCATCGCCTAGAAACGTACAGCTAAAAAATGTTGATAATGATTAGCAGAATTACAAAACGGTTTAAAACAACTTCCTGTGAGGCAGCTTTTGTTTGTTTTTTTAAATCTATAACTTTTTTTATTTATTTATTTTTAAATTGTTTGCATAAACTGCAATAACTTTTAAAATGATTAAACATTGAGCACTAATTGTATTGTGTAGAAATTTTGTTTTATGACTCATTTCAAATACATGCCGTTCCAAACACCACAGAATGTCTAGGAAGAAAGATGTATATTTCTGAACACTGATTTTGAGAACAGATTTAAAAGATGCACCAAAACTTTTAATTTGAAACCAATTGCTCAATCTTGGTTTTCCATTGTTGAAAACAGCTTCTCCAGGGGCCAGTACTCATCCCCTATATTTAACAAACCTATTTGTAAGGTGTAAAAATTAATTGTTGAACTCAACATCTATTTATCACGCATGTCTCCATCTTAATTCCCGGTCAATCATTCTAAGATACGTCTTTTGTACCTGGCAGTCCGCATAGAGAAAGTGTAGAGAGAAAAAAAACTTTCTATTTCTCCTTTCACACAGTGCATGCCCTGGTCATACCTGGACTGTAATGTAATTTGCTAAAGCTCTAAATATATTTATAAAGACAACAGGCAGAAATCAGTGATCTACCCAAAGTGAGAAAGACGTTTTAATATGTATCCCCATTACTATAGATATACATCAATACTGGTTACTATAGTATGCACAGTCTTCCTTCCATACAAAGTAATTTAATACAAGTACATTTTCTTTGAATTGCATAAACCTCAATATTACAATATTATGTGCAGGCAGCTTACCTTCTCAGCTGTGGAGGCTGTAAGGACGAAAGTGGAGAAAACTGGAAGAGGTTGTTTGTTTTGGGGATCCCAGCATTCTATAGTAGCCCCCATTGGCAAGCAAAAGAGAGGCACAGATTCAGAAAGTGGGAATGACTTATAATCTTCCTCTGGGTACCTGAAGATCAGACCTAGAAGAGGAAGTCCAAATATAAATGGCTATATCATTTAACATGATGATATCCTAAAAGCTCTTGTCAAAAACATAGAAAGTCCCTCTAAATAGACTGTACTCATTGGAATTGACATGGTAATGAAATAACTAGGGCTTCGCACAGAATTTGAATTCAAATAACATAAATCACTTTCTGCACATTTATTTCTTATGGAGCTCTGACACACAGCTACTTATAAAAGAGACAGTAAAGGATGCCACCACCGGTGCTAAATCACAATATTTAGCCAGATGGATAACATTGTAGCAAATACTGTTTGACATTTTAACTAAACAATTATGTCCAAGAATCAAGTTTCGTGCATTATTTTAGATCCTATTTACCAAGACAGGAGATAACTAGTGGCCCATTTTCTACATTCATGCATTTATTTAATTAATCTACACTTACCGTATACTATCAATATTTATTTTTGTCTTCCCATGTATTACTCTCTACCAATGTCCCTAAACCACTCCAAATCTTTATTGTTGGGGATAGAAATTTAACAAAGCCTTATTTTTCACTTAACTTCAAATTCCAGTCACTTCTATTTGGCTCAGCTTGCCTGATAAAGTTCCCCTAAGGTTAAGTCAATCAAACTGAAAACTCAATTGAGAGAAAGAGGTCTCTACCATTTTTTCAACAGACCTCATTGTGGCAGTGAGATTGGACTAAGGTTTAGGATTAATGGCCATCTATAAGTTTGCGCTATCCGGGATAACAGTTTATACAGTTACAATTTAACTTTCTCATTTAGTCAAAATTGCATTACACCTTTTAGCTAGCAAAGGATTAGTGACATTTAAACAGATGTGCAATATATGTAAAATAAATTTCACAGAGGAGATGGACTGTATTTAAGCAATTTAAAGGCATCACGGTCTTGTTTTAAAATATTTCTTTAAAAAATTAATATAGATCGATTAAGAGAACCTTTATTAACATTTCATTATGACATTTTATATACTATTATACTGGCATATTTTTTTTTTTTTTTAAACAAATATATAATTACATACCGCGCCTCACGTCCCAACACTAGTGCCATAAAATTAAAGTTGGTGTAAAGCTGGTGTAGTAAGATTTAACGTAAGGTCAATTCTGCTGAATGTCTACCATGCCTACATGCTCCCCTGTGTTTTCATACTTTTTTAGGCTCATGATGATCACAACCCTCTGTTAAGTGGATTTACAGCTCCTTTCTGTGATTGTGGAATGATTGTTTATAACGTTTCTGGGCAGGTAGGGGGTGGGTGGGTACAGGGCCGGCCCATGGCATTGTGCTGCCTGGATCAAACTATGAAATGCTTACACCAAGCAAAAAGCGCCCACATCCATTATGTTATGCAGTGTCTGTGTAGTGAATGCAGTGTCTGTGTAGTGGATGCAGAGTGTGTATTTGTGTAGTGGCTGTGGATTGCATGCAGTGTGTGTAGTGAATGTATTGTGTGTCTGTATAGTGGATGCAGAGCGTGTGTGTGTGTATATATATATATATATATATATATATATATATATATATATGGATGCAGTGTGTGCGCGCATAGTGGATGCAGGAGGGAGGGGATGACAGGCGGCAGAGTGATTGAGGGAGGGGGTGACCGTAAGGGAGGGGGTGACCGTAAGGGAGGGTGTGACAGGTGGCAGAGTGACTGCGGGAGGGAGGGGTGACACACTGAGGGAGTGGTTGACAGGTGGCAGAGTGATGGAGCTAGGGGGTGGCAGAGGGAGGGAGGAGGTGACAGGTGGTAAAGTGACTGAGGGAGGGAGTGGGTGACAAAGTAAGGGAGGGGGTGGCAGAGTGACTGAGGGAAGTAGGTGGTGACAGGTGGTAGAGTGACTGAGGGAGGAAGGGGGTGACAGTAAGGAAGGGGGTGGCAGAGTGACTGAGGGAGGGGGTGACACAGTAAAGGAGGGGGTGGCAGAGTGACTGAGGGAGGGAGGGGTTGACACAGTGGGAGGGAGGGGATTGTAAGTTAAAAAATTGCTTTTTTTCTCCCCTGGTGGTCCAGTATCTTTGATCCCTGATGGTCCGGTGGGCTGTCTCTCCAATCTGCCCTGAGAAGCAGAGAGCCAGCACAGTCTGCAGCTCTGCCAGGTGTGAGCTGCAGACTGTGCAGTGTCTCGAGATATCCAGAAGTCTGAACGTTCTGACGGGCCAGAGATCGCGAGACACTGCACAGTCTGCAGCTCACATACAGTGGACCTGCAAACTGTGCTGGCTCTCTGCCTCTCAGGGCAGACTGGAGGGGCCCCGCACCCGGCAGCAAACCGGGCAAGACGCCGGGTCCCCTCCAGGTATTGGGTCCTCGGTGAGGGACCGAGGACCTGACACAGTCTTCCTGCCCTATGGCGAGTTGGGCGGCAGCGATGACTTAGTTAGGCAGCCGCCTAACTCGCCTAATTAGAGAGCTGCCGGCCCGCCCCTGACAGAGTTCCGCCTAAAGCCGTGCCTCCACCGCTGGCTATGGACGGGCCAGCCCTGAGTGGTTACATGATTATGAAAACAAACCAAACAACTAACCTGGTTTATAAGCAATGGAATTAGAAGCTGGAACAGTCTTCTTGTAACACAAGTAGACATTGGATCCCCACTATAAAAATAAAGAAGAGAAGCAAGATGAAAGAAAAGATTAAACACAACTTTATTTCTAAAAAGGATGCACAATAAGTGAAACTGTATTAGCGAAATTCAGAACCAGTAATGTGTGCCTGGATGGGAGAGAACTCAAGATAGTAAAAGCCCTTTTTGGTAGCTGGCAGGGTCAGAGCAAAAAAAAAAAAGAAGAAGCAATTTGAAGCACAAAAGGAAGTTAAATGGAAAAGATTGCTCATTTGTTAACAAGTGTACATTTATACAGATGGGACATGTGGTTGCTTCAGAAACTAATTTTGCAAAAGAACATGCAATGTTTGCAGAAAGCTGCAGAGTGGCAAAGTCAACACTACGGATAGTGAAAGTTATAGTGGTAAGTATATCAGGCCTTAGTCTTCCTGAATAAGCAAATATCCCTTACTTTGAGAATGTTAAACCCATGTTTTGGGTTATCTGGTAATAATAGTAAGATTTAAAAAAATAAATAAAATTATATTAATAATTAAACAGAAAGAAAAGTTATTTAAAAGTAAATTTTATGGGCATATTTCTGCCCCTTTAAAGCTTGCTCACCAGGCCACAGTTGAGGTTCCTGTCCACCTTACAGAAGGTGTGGGGTGGAGTCTCCCCTTTATTAGTAATGATTACACAGATATCAGTCACAGCTAAAGAATTTTGTGTACGTTTCTTAATCGCTCGTCGGTAGGTGATGAAAATTCGTGAGGAAGTGGTAGAGCTATTGTTGACATTTGCACATCGTCCATATGGGGTGGCCTTAATGATCTCGCAACCCGCCATGAGACGGTCCTTGCCTTCATATAACACACTGCAAGAAGACAGAAGAATAAAAAATAAAAAAAAACATAATTACATAGTGGCAAAATGGTCCACCTACGTCCTATGAAATATTTGTCAAATGATGTATTTGCATTTCCTCAAATAATTTTCCACAATTGTCAACAAACAATAGCTACAGAAGCAAACATTACAAACTTTAGTGACTTGATAGATTGTGTCAAAATATGGAAACGTCTCTTTAAATTGCAAAATGTTACAATGTGCTCTATTACAGGGGTAGGCAACCTAGATGTCGGCACTCAAGATGTCTTTGCACGGCACTCTGTTTTGTACTATCAGGAGTCCCAGGGAACTTATATCTGCTACTACGAAAAGGTGGTGAAGAACAATCTTCAATTTATGCATTGCAGCACATAGAGCATGGGTGTCCAACCTTTTGGTTTCCCTGAGCCGCATTGAGCCCAGAGGAATTGTCTTGGGCCACACAATCACATACATACACACAGAAAATCACAGATCCACACCACACACACAATCACAGATCCACACGACACACACAATCACAGATCCACACCACACACACAATCACAGACATGTCCACAGACCCCCTCCCCACACACACACACACACACACACACAGCCAATCACTGACAAAACATACACAAAAATCACATGCACACACATTTAATACTAAGAGGTCTACCCAGCCTCCCTAACTTGCTCTCGGAGGGCTGGAGTGGATCCTCTGCCTGGTGACCAGTGGTTGCTGCTGGGCTGGAGCTTGGGACCTCTTTATGCACCGGTTCCTCGTGCGCCCAGTAGTGATGCCAGGATGACGTCATATCCCGGCAGATGGCTCACTAACAGGCAGCCAGGAAGCTATGCAGGAGGAGCACAGAATGTAATGGGCTCAGGGGCGTACATATAGCTTTTGGTACCCGTGGCGCATCCTGAGTTTGGCATTCCCCCACCCGAATTCAAATGTAAAAAAAAAAAAAAAAACCTACTAAATTTTTTTTTCAAATCTATCTTTTTTTTAACATTTTTTTTATTGCCTACTACCTGCCCAGTCCCCCTTATAAACCTCTCCTCATATAAAACCCCAAGTCCAGTCCCCCTTCTACAAAAAACCCTGCTAAGTCCCCCTTCTACAAAAAACCCTGCTAAGTCCCCCTTCTACAAAAAACCCTGCTAAGTCCCCCTTCTACAAAGCCTGCACTGAGTCCCCTTCATTTTCGTCCCTGCCCAGTCCCCTTGTACAGAAGCCCTGCCCAGTCCCCTTGTACAAAGCCCCTGCCCAGCCCCCACAAGCCCTGCCCAGTCCCAGCTGGCCCCTGCAGTCCCCTTGTACCAGCCCCTGCAGTCCCCTTGTACCGAGAAGCCCTGCCCAGTCCCCTTGTACCAGCCCCGGTTCCACCCCAACACCGCAGCCTACCCCCGCTCCACAGAGCCCCTGCCCAGTCCCCTCTCTACAAAACCCTGCCCAGTCCCCTCTCTGCAAAACCCTGCCAGTCCCCTCTCTGCAAAAGCCCTGCAGTCCCCTCTCTGCAAAACCCCTGCCCAATTCCCTCTCTACAAAACCCCTGCCCAGTCCCCTCTCTGCAAAGCCTGCCCAGTCCCCTCTCTGCAAGCCCTGCCCAGTCCCCTCTCTACAAAAACCCCTGCCCAGTCCCCTCTCTACAAAAACCCCTGCCCAGTCCCCTCTCTACAAAAACCCCTGCACCCCTCTACACAAAAAATGCCCTCTGATTCACAAAAACCCCTGCCATCCCCTACATGACCCCTGCCCACCCCCTCTACAAGATCTTTGCCCACCCCCTATTCACAAAAAACTCCTGCCCCGTCTACAAAGACCCCTGTCCCCCTAGAAACACATTCACAAAAAATCCCTGCCTCCTCTCAAGACCCTAGCACACACAAAAAAAAACAAAAAAAAAAAAACTTTCAAACAACAACAACAACAACAAAAACCAACAATATTAGCAAGCACTCACCCTGCTCCTCTGCCTGCTTGCTACTCATTGATGATCCGCGCTCCAGACTCACCAGCGCTTCTGCTCTAAAGACACCGTGAGGACGGAGCATGTGGACAGCACTGCATTGCGTGCCTCCGTGCACCGCCGCTTTCCTCTTCCTGCTGCCCTGGCGCACCCCCCTTCCTCTTTATAAAATATTTTACCAGGAAAGATACATTGTAATTTCTCTCGTTTTTAAGTATGTCCTGGGTCCACAAAACATTGCATTGATACAATACGGTACAATTAAATACAAATACAATATTAATTCACAATATATACAAAATTTAACATAGAACAGGTAGGAAATATACAATCAACCATGACACGTGCCTTCTGTTTTGAGGTATGTAGAGAGAGATCTCTTAAAGGACTTTAGGCTTAGGGAAGATTTTAAAGGGTAATGCGGGATAATGCGTTTCCCTGGTGGCTGGTGCTCTGGAAAAGGTCGGGCCTCCCTATTTTGTATTGAGGTAGAATAAATAAAGTGCTGGTATTGGATCTGAGGTTATAGGAGGTGGGAACAACAAGGGAGAGCATTCTGCTCAGGTAGGGCGGGAGCTTCCCAGAAAAGCTCTTAAACACAAGGCTGGAAAGATGAAGGGTGCGCCTGGATTCCAGCGACAACCAGTTTAGTTCTTTTAGCATGTCACAATGGTGGGTCCTGTAATTACATTGTAGCACAAATCGGCAGAACGAATTATACAATGTGTTGAGTTTATTATGGTGGGTTTGCAGTGCAGGTGCATACACTACATCCCCATAATCAATGATTGGCATCAGCATTTGCATATACACACAAATACAACTATACAAAGCAACTGCAGTATAAATAACAAGCAGAATACGGCAACATACACACCTCAATTTAAAAAAAATAGGACCAACGCTACGGGATATCACAATCATATTTTGGCACAGTGCTGCTAAAAGGTTGCCTATTCCTGCTCTATCATATAGTGGATTATCTTGCATTGTCAAATACAGAAATTCCAATTGGCATTTATTCTCATTACTTATTTCAGTTTAAGAACTTCCTTTAAAGCAGATGGTAATGTTTTTTTTGATAATAAAGTACTTTAGCAAATTATGCATAAATATTAGCTTTAGACAAAGTGATACTTTAGTTGCTAAACTAATTTACCCACAATTCACAGTCAAAGGAATCCCACAGAATGGCACACTTCAGATTGCACGGAGAGAGGATAACAACCCCCAGATATTTAGATTCAGCGCAAGGAAGGAAAGATAATAAATATAAATAAAAGCAAGAGCCAAGAGGGAGTATAATCACTAAAAGACAAAAATGTAGTTAAATAAAAACTAAAATCATGGAACATCAGCTTTGACAGTGCTGAGCACGTTCCCAGAAAGGCCAATAGGGTAAAACAGTTTACAGCAAACATTTGCCCTGCTAAGCAGATTTGTGTTTGCCCATTCCAGACAGCAATCATATTAATTTCCACAGTATTTGCTGAGCTTTAGCTCCATTTCTACAGAGCATGTTTACTTGGCAAGCACACACTATGGTAATCATGTTTTCCAATGGCTATATAAACATACATTCCCTGCTCTCCATTCACTGATCTTAAAAAAAAAAAATAAAAAAAAAGGGGGCCATTTATCTCTTCGTACATTAGCTCCCATGTAAGAAGTTTTTAGTGTTAATCATTCTCACTAGTTTTCCTTAAAGGAAAACAAATATGTAATTCCTAGCATAGGTGTCTTCCCCCAACCCCTTGCAGGGGATTAAAGGGTAAGCTTTATTTACCTTGCAATCTGGGGAGGACTGGTCTCTGTGCTACAGCCTTGCCTCCCTGGCTGAGATCATAACTCTCAATGATCTCAGCCAATCCAACGCATTGGGAGGCAAGTGCACATGCAAGGCAAAATGCTAGGCTGCACCAACCAAATGCTTCCTAGGAAAGTCATTTGAGCAAGAACAGGGTTTAATTTTACTTTAGTGCCTGTTTTCCTGAAAGCCACTAGAGACATGTTAACCCTATAGGGGAAACATTGCCTTTCAGTTGCAAGGCATTCCGCCCAGTCCATTTCATGTACTTCACAAAAAAAAAAAAAATGAAAAAAAAATTTTACAAAGACAACTTTAATAAATGGAAAATGGATCAGCGCTGTGTGATATAGTAAAAGGCTAGAAACAGGTAGATAGCTGCAACCTATAGGTATGAGGTTCCCTCTAAAATCCTCAAAAGAGAAATGGCAAAAACAGAAATAATAGGTCGCGCTACAACAAATAAATATAATATATTAGCATACACTAAGAAACGTAGAGAAAAAGAATGAATAATTAATAGTCCAAATACTTGGTGTACTTATGATAAATTCCAATGGATAGATGAAGATCTCAGTACTTTATGTCCATCTCTTACTGTATTCGGCAAAGGGGTAATGTATTCAATGAAAAACAAGATCTTCTAATGCGAGCGTAGTCTTGACTCGATGGTAACCATGAAAAATAAATAATAATGAAAAATAAAGAAAATAATGAAAAATTCTATGTACCAGGCTGTTTTTTACTATTGCCAGTTGATAAAGCCCTGTGTGGCGAAATGCGTTTTGGCTTTTATTTATATTTTATACTGTATTAATAAAGGAATATTGGCTCTTTTATTATAATTTTGCCATATACCTTTTTTTTTTTATTTCATTTTATTAATTTCCTGGTACCCGGTTACTTTTTACCTTGGAGTCTACATACAGCCAAGAATCCTGGGTGGGGATTGTACCACCCGTGCGATTATACTGAGCAGTCTATTCTGCTCATCTGAATGTGAGTATTTTTATTCTCTCATTTTATTTACTTTTATTTATATCCAGTGAGCACTATATTGTGTTTTTTATTCCTTTTCTTATACGGAGGAATCATCTTCACCTATATCCTACCAGTGGGGGACAAACGCCACTGAATGCCTAATATACTAGAGCGAGTTTATGCTCAGAAATAGGTGAGTGTATTACCTCCCTATTATTCTTCATACTCTCAGTTATCTACAGACAATCTACACTATTGGATTTTCCCTGTTTTCTTTATTTTTCATGGTTACCATCGAGTCAAGACTACGCTCGCATTAGAAGATCTTGTTTTTCATTGAATACATTACCCCTTTGCCGAATACAGTAAGAGATGGACATAAAGTACTGAGATCTTCATCTATCCATTGGAATTTATCATAAGTACACCAAGTATTTGGACTATTAATTATTCATTCTTTTTCTCTACGTTTCTTAGTGTATGCTAATATATTATATTTATTTGTTGTAGCACGACCTATTATTTCTGTTTTTGCCAAAAACAACTTTAAAACTAATATATTATTTACTATTTAAAATGCGAAACTTTCGGTTTACAGCATATTGCTCTATCCTGGTGCTCTTTCAGTGTTTCTTTCTTTGGCTCTGCTTCTTCTCCCCAACTCCTTTCTGTTGGTGTCCCCCAAGGTTCAGTCCTTGGTCCCCTACTGTTCTCTATCTATACTGCCTCCCTTAGTAAACTCATTAGCTCCTTTGGCTTCCAATATCATTTCTATGCGGATGACACGCAAATCTATCTGCCTCTCCTGATCTCTCCCAGTCCCTTTTGACTAGTGTCTCTGACTGCCTCTCTGCTATTTCTAACTGGATGGCTGCCCACTTCCTTAAACTAAACTGGACCAAAACTGAAATTCTGGTCTTTCCTCCCTCAAGTGTTGCTACTCCTGTGTCTCCCTTCCTCCAAGTCAACAGTGCTAACATCAGCTCCACCATGTAGGCTCGCTGCCTAGGTGTTCTCTTCGATTCTGACCTCCTTCACGCCTAATGTTCAGTCTATCGCCAAATCCTTCTGCCTCCACCTCAAAAACATTGTGCACATCCGACCCAGATGCGACTAAGGTGTTGGTCCATTTCACTGTCCTTTCTTGCCTTGACTACTGTAATCCGCTTCTCAGTGTTCTTACGTGCTTCCAACTTGCACCGTTACAGTCCATAATGAATGCGGCGACGATGCTCATCTTCCTGTCTGCCCGCACCGCCCACGCCTCACCCTTCTGTCAGTCCCTACATTGGCTTCCTGTAAGATATAGGGCTCAATTTAAAATTCTGGTTCTTGCTTTCAAATCTCTACATAATGCTGCTCCCACCTATCTATCCTCCAATTCCCAAGTATGACCTGTCTAGGCCCTTACGTTCTGCTGAAGACTTATGTCTATCTTCTGTCCATACTCCCACCTCTGATGCTCGCCTTCAAGACTTCTTGAGGGCTGCACCCTGTGGAACTCACTTCCCTCCTCCGTTAGATGCTCACCCAGTCTCCATTCCTTCAAAAAAATCATTAAAAACCCACTTCTTCATAAAAGCGTATCAATTAAACAGTTAATAGCTACCGACTGATCCCTCTCTTGCAACTGACATTAACATAATACTATCCTTACCTTTTTTGTCACTTTACCCCACCCCCTCTAGCATGTAAGCTCATTGAGCAGGGCCCTTAACTCCTCTGTTCCTGTGTGTCCAACTTGTCTGGTTACAACTACATGTTTGTTCGTCCACCCACTGTACAGCACTGCAGAATTTGTTGGCGCTATATAAATAATTAATGCTAAAAATAAATAAATAAAAATACAATTTCTTTATTTTTTAAATTATGACATTTGTTTTACTAAGGACAAGGGTGCAATAAAGCTACCCTTCTCTCCAAGAAATAGATGGTGGTGTCAATTCTAATTTTACACTCAGATTACATATTCCGCTGCAAAACTATGTAACCTCTCTCTCGGGGGAAAGAATGGGAGGGGAGTGAGCTGAACTTAACCTTTTCTGATAGGAGTGAATTTGCCAACAGTTTTACAAGACCCACAACATCTGACTACCCCAAACGATGGTTTCCTTGTTAACTCTGATGGCAGAGAAATGTTGTGGGCGATGGGGTCCATTAGCTAGATGCTTCACATTTAATTTTACGTACTAGAGCTGAAGGTTACTGGTGTTTTTGTTGTTGTTAGAATGACCACCCAATAATAATCAGTCTATATTATCATACTTTCTAACATTTTATATGGCTATAGAAAAACACTTTTAGGGACTTTTTTTGATGAAGGGGTTTTCCTAACCTTTGTGTTTACATGAAAGTTAACACAAACTTATAAATTGGTACTTAAAGAGACACTTCTGGAACCAACAAATCTTTTAAGCATTTGGAGAAGAGAAACAAACACTGCTTGAGCAACTACCGGTACTACAAGCTAGGCAGGCAGTTTTGTTTACAACAGTTTGGCTTACTCTGTGCGGTCATAGGATGAGCTGTGTTGTGATTTTTGTCTCCTGGTGCGGAAGTCTGCAATTTGTTTATTTCCAAAAAACAAAAAACAAACATGTAATATTAATGGGGTCAAAACCTGTCAAAAGCCTTTAAATTGTGTTGGTGCCCTTTGTATAGTGAAAGAACTAGGGATAGACCGATTATATATGCAACTATGTAAGTATTACCAACAATCAAACTATCTGACCCCTGATCAATCAGGCTTTTGCCAGAATCACTCCACTACAACTGCCCTCTTAAAAGTTTGCAATGACATCCAAACTGGCATGGAACAAGGAGACCAAACTGGAGCTATTTTCCTTGATTTTGCCAAGGTCTTTGACACAGTAGACCACGACATTCTACTACACAAACTCAAAAACTCAGGTTATTGGTGATCATTCGTTAACCTGGTTTTGATCGTATGTATTGGATCGCTCTCAATATGTGTCCATTTCAGACAGCGACTCCCTCCCTCTCCCAGTCACGTGTGGTGTTCCCCAAAGTTCCATTCTCGGCCCCCTACTATTTACATTATTTATAAATGATCTGCCTAATGTCTGCAAATCCTCAAATGTACACATGTACGCAGATGACACAGTAATCTATGCGAGCAAATCCAATCTACCAGAGCTTGAGGCTTTGCTCCAAGACCAGTCTACAGAGGTAGAAAAGTGGATCGCAAAAAAAAACCAAAAAACAACTCTTCCTGTACACTGACAAAACTGTCACAATGATCTTTGGAACAGAACCTAAATTACACAATTCCACCTATCAATCAAAACAAATTCAAATGGCACACTGACCGCAGTCCACTCTTTCAAATACTTGGGTATGATATTAGACCCCAATCTATCTTTTGGCCTCCGCATAGAAAAACTTGCATCTAAACTTTATCCAAAACTAGGTGCCCTGTACAGAAACAAAGCCTGCCTAAGCCCTACAGTAAGGGAAAAGATTGTACAGCAAATGCTGATGCCAATCATTGATTATGGGGATGTAGTATATGCACCTGCAATGCAATCCCACATTAATAAACACATTGTATAACTCTTTCTGCCGATTTGTGCTACAATGTAATTACAGGACCCACCATTGTGACATGCTAAAAGAACTAAACTGGCTGTCGCTGGAATCCAAACGCACCCTTCATCTTTCTAGCCTTGTGTTTAAGAGCTTTTCTGGGAAACTCCTACCCTACCTGAACAAAATGCTTTCCCCAGCTGTTCCCACTTCCTATAACCTCCGATCCAGTACCAACACTTTACTTAGTCTACCTCAATACAAAAAGAAAGCAGCCCGATCCTCCTCCTCCTACAGAGCACCGCATTTGTGGAACGACCTACAGCACAATTTAAAATCTTCCCTAAGCCTAAAGTCCTTTAAGAGATCCCTCTCTACATACCTCAAAACAGAATGCACGTGTCATGGTTGATTATATATTTCCTACCTGTTCTATGTTACATTTTGTATATATTGTGTATTAATATTGTTTTTGTATTTTATTGTACCCTAATGTATCAATGCAATGATTTGTGGACCCAGGACATACTTGAAAACGAGAGAAATCTCAATGTATCTTTCCTTGTAAAATATTTTATAAATAAATAGAACATAAAAAAAATGTTTATATATATATATATATATATATATATATATATATATACACACACATACACACACATATATAGGTTCTTGTTGAAGTGCACTCACAGGACTCAATAATATTTCTAATCGTGCTGTTTATTCAAGCATCAAGTGGTACAAAGAAGTGTCGACGTTTCAATCCTTGCTGGACTTTTTTCAAGGGTCTTGAAAAAAGTCAGTCAAGGACTGAAACGTCGACACTTCTTTGTACCACTTGATGCTTGAATAAACAGCACGATTAGAAATATTATTGAGTCCTGTGAGTGCACTTCAACAAGAACCTATATATACTTATGGTCGGAGTTTGCACCGAGGCATTAACAAGACCGGGAGCAGTGAGTGTGGGGCACGTGTAAAGTTATATATATATACACACACACACACATATACATACAGTCCTGCCTCTGGCGCTCACCATAAATCAGTATAATCCGCAATACCTGGGTGCTTCCAGCGCCACAAAACGGGAGTGCTCCATTAATTTACTATATATTATATATATATATATATATATATATATATATATATATATATATATATATTCAAGCTGGCTACTGTATATTATATTGAATAATTTTAAAGACATCTAATATCTCAAAGAAATTGTCACAAGATAGCGCAAATTAATCTACAAAGTTAATTAATAAGATTAATAACACATACATCAATAAAAATATGTACACATATAATGCAATAAAAATATCACAATTGTGGATTGTGATGTCAGTTGCTAAATCTTTACTATGTTAAAGGATTCAACTTCTCCAGTTAGAACGTTTTTAACTTTACAAACATTTTACAGTGAACAAATGTTTCTCTATGAAAAAAAAAAAAAACACTAAATGCCTATAGGGGCAATTGCAGTTAAAGTGAACCTATCATGATAGCACAGCTCTGATAAATATACATTATGTAGGTTTTATTTTTAACATAATCCTTACACTGGCTGCAAAATTAATGTAGGAAAGGAAAACAAATGGAAAATGGACAGAATATATGTAATGGGCGCGTCCACTAGTGGTGATTCATTTCAGTTTTTTTGGTGCTAATGTATAGAGAACTGACAAAAATCACATTCCTTCCACTGCTTGCTTTTCTGTTTCTCCTGTCAAATCCTCTGGAGGTTAAAAAAAAGAATATCTGCACGATCATAAAATTAGCATAGAAGTGCTGAGGTGCAAATTAGCTGGCCAGCAAAAGTGGTGCCAAATGAACAGTACATGTGGATTTCCAACTGATAAAAAATTTACACTTACAGCATTAATAACTACAGACTATAATATGTAACAGATCATAAGCAAAATACATGGGGAAAATACTATTAGAAAGACAAATACATAGACTGAAACGATTGGTTGACTGAAAAGAATTCTGAAAGGGAAAGCCAAACTATAAATTAAATTACACAAGACTGCTAAAATGTTCCATTTTGCGTGACAGATGTTATGCATAAGAAAGTTTCAGATTTTCATTAAGTCAAAGGTCAATTGAGGTTATTTTTAAAGGGCAAAAATAGTGGAGGCAAGTGTGGAGTGAAATCACTATGGAGAAATCAACAATATTTTAATTTCCACCTTTAGAACCTTTCCCCCGAACAGACTAGAAGTATAAATTAGGTTCCAACTCAAAAACATAGCCCGCATTCGCCCCTTTCTTACGCAAGATGCTACCAAGGAGCTTGTCCATGCTCTAGTAATTTCCCGCATGGATTACTGTAACCCTCTCCTGATTGGTCTCCCCAAAAGCCGTATTGCCACGCTACAGTCGGTAATGAATGCTGCAGCTAGACTGATTTTCCTCTCTAGTCGGTCCTCTCACACCTCACCCCTCTGCCAGTCCTTATATTGGCTCCCTGTATGCTATAGGAGTCAATTTTAAAGTGCTAACCCATACATTTAAAGCACTGAACAATTCTAGCCCCACTTATATCTCTTCACTAATCCATAGATATGCCCCTCCTCGTACCCTCCGCTCTGCCTGTGACCACCTCCTGACCGCTGCTCACACCCGTACGGCCAACTCGCGCTTGCAGGACCTCTCGCGGGCGGTTCCTCTCCTATGGAATAGCCTGCCTACTGCCATCAGACTCTCCCCTAGTCTTCAATCATTTAAGAAGGGCCTTAAAACCCATCTCTTCAGGAAAGCTTATGGCCTCCCAGAGTAATCTCTACCTTACATACCTGTCTCCTGCTCTCTCCTATGGGACAGTGCTTTGCTCTCTCCTCCAGCTCTGCTTCACTCCTACTTGATATTTCTTGTCCTAATGTTTCTAGTACCCCACCTCCTATAGTTTGTAAGCTCGTTTGAGCAGGGTCCTCTTCAACCTATTGTTCCTGTAAGTTTTCTTGTAATTGTCCTATTTATTGTTACATCCCCCCTCTCAAAATATTGTAAAGCGCTACGGAATCTGTTGGCGCTATATAAATGGCAATAATAATAATAATATAAATCAATGGTATATTACAGAGTACTGCTAATATACAGGCTCGCAAAAGTGGTGTTCCAAATATTTCTTCCTGACCCCGTTTAGTCCATAACATACATTTTTGTGTCAACTTCAAACAGCTGTTTTGTTGTTTATTTACCTAATTGGTTTAGTTTTTTTGAACTGAATAAATACAGGTATCCAGTAGTTAGATTTAAATCTAGATACCTAGCCACACAGAGATGCATCCCCTGCTGAAATGAGATGTACCTTCCAATGCATCAACAGTGAACTGCAGAAACTCTCTGCACATGTGCAGTATTGTTGCTACCAGCTTATTTTCTATTATCTAATAATTAGATATAATGAATGCAACTATTGTGGGAGGCTGAATGTCTAATCCCAAAGGCCTCTGTTGGACAGGTGTTCACAGGTAAAATCAAACTCTATTGACCACAATGAAAGTCTCCTGATTGGTGGAGCCTCTTTTTGGTTAGTGAGGGGCTTTCCTCTCAATTAGGTGGTGTGGGTGCAGTGGTCCTGCAGTTTAAACCCTTCAAAGTAAAATGTAGTAGTTTTGCAGAAACCACAATGTTTATCTTTAAGGGTTAAACACCCTTCTAGTGGCTGTCATACTGACAGCCACTAGAAGTGCTTCTGCTGGACCGACTGAGCAAAACTGCAGCTCAAAGGAAAGCATAAGCATTTAATATTGACCTATGAGAAGCAGAGCTCACAGCACGTGTGCATTTGGTCCCCAAGGCTCCTCTATGAGGACATTGGATTGAACGAGAAAGCAATGCCTCCTTGTTGACAGCACTTGCTGGAGGTGGAGGTCGGCCGTACCGAAAGTCTCAGGGCTGGAAAAAGGTGAGTAAAATCCTTTTGGATGTACATTATATTGAAAGAAGAATAAATTGGTAACCAATTGCTAGGTTTATATTTGACAAAACTGACGAACTGAGTGCTCCAGAAGACAGGTATAGATCTTGGATTGAGTTTTATAAACTGGAAACATTTTGTCACTATCATCAGCAAGCATTGCCTCGCAGCCTTGTGAGAGAGGAAGCCATGATCTGAAAATCAGAGTAAAACATTCCTATGCAAACATGAATGTGTACAAAAGGGCAACCCATTTTAATTTTCCCACAGGAAGTAAGGCTTTATTTTTCTCTGCTCTGTTTATTACAACAGAAAATAGAATGACTCACGTACATCCTTATCCTTCACATTTAAAAACCTAAGGTCATAGATCACACTGATACAACCGAAACATCCAAGTCCAAGTTTGTGAGTGACATGCCAACAAGTGCAACCTGTTTTCACTGACCGCCAAAACAGTACTGGAAGGTCACATGTAGTGAATACGTTAGCAAGTGTCCTATAAGTACAACATATAAAGGGAACAGTAAAGCTAAAAGCAAAATCAGTTTACCAATACATTTTCTATCTGTGTAAGAAAGCTTTTTTTTTTTTTTTTGTAAGTGTTTTAACAGGTGATATAAAGCATACTTTCTTTTGCTCTCGGATATGACCAAAAATGTTCAAATACAATACTAGTACAATGCTAAATCATGAATACATTTAGCTCTGTCATTTAAAAAAAGCCCAAGCCTCCCATTTATAAATCCTGCCTGTGCTAAAATAAAATAAAAAAACACACAAAAAAAACCATGAATTTTATTTGAGTGAGGATTTAGTGTCCTGCTTGAAGTTATGCCACGAGGCTTTAGATACCGACATTGTATTGAAAAAACAGTGCTTTACCTGCACAAAAGGTGGCAAATCAATCTAGCCTGTGTAGAAGGTTAAAATATAGATTTAGATTTTCATAAATCATATAAAATGGAAAGACAAAAAGGGAAGAAAGTAAATCAAGAAGCCACAAAGATAACACCTAATAGCAGAACTAAGTATCCAAGGCAAAATAACAATACATTACAGATATCATAGGAACCACGTATAAGGAAAAACTCCAGAGCAGTAAAGCACTTAAACCTCCTGTAGTACTTTGTGACATGGGTGTACTTTTTTTTCCATGCAGGTTTCAATAGATATTGGCACTTTCATTAATTTGTCTTGTTACACCGCTGACTGTCAGACAACCAGTCCTGTTACTTCCTGGTTGTATAGTTCTATGGAGTCAATTGCACCTGTCTTGCAAATGTGTCTCATTAAACTGCTTTGGGAAGTCTGTGATTGGAAAGCCACAGAAAGTCTGGGCGAGGTTATAAGGGGAAGGCTTTTAAATTATTCAAACAAGAGACTTGAAAGAGTGTGTGGGTTTTTTTGCATTGAAAAAAATATAGAATTAAATACATGCATATTTTTATTAGATGTAGATCTACAAAACAGAGATGTTCCAGGAAATCTAGTGCTTATAGAAAGGAAGCCACTCTTCCTCAATTTATCGTAAGCATGGACAATTATAACACCATAACAAGTTTTGTGTTATTCTCCCAATTAAACACATAGGACTATTTACTACACTTTCTTATCAACAGAATACAACAAAAACATACTACAAAAGTTTCAGACTTTCAGAAAGTTTGTAACAGCATTAATTTGCAGAATATGCCACTCAGTCTCATACACATGAAAGAGAGACAATGCTGCTTTTTGTAGATACTAGGTTCAATAGCTACCATGGCAACATACAGCAGCATGAGGCAACACTACATAAACTTCCACTGTCTCAGAGTGAATGAAAGACACTTTTCAATGAATGTCAACACATACACACACCATGTTTTGTGTACCTTAAATTTTGTGTTACTTTTTTTTTTGTCAATCAGTTTTATGCAAATTAATATGTATTTTATTGAAGGACAGTGATCATATGAAGCCATTTATTATCACATTGTAGTTTGGCTCCTTTTTAAATCATAATGATAACAGATATCACCTAAATGGCCCTAAAAGTTTACATATCCTTGAATGTTTGGCCTTGTTACAGACACACAGAGTGACACACACAGATTTAATGTCAATAAAAGGTTAATTTCCCACACCTGTGGCTTTTTAAATTGCAATTAGTGTCTGTGTATAAACAGTCAATGAGTGTGGTGGCTCTCACGTGGATGCACTGAGCAGGCTAGATACCTAGGCATGGGGAGCAGAAAAGACCTGCGTAACAAGGTAATGGAACTTTGTAAAGATGGGAAAGGGTAAAAAAGACATCCAAAGCCTTGAAAATGCCATCAATCACGTATTAAGAAGTGGAAAATTCGATCTCTTGATACCAAGCCAAGGTCCGGTAGAAAGATTTCCGCCACAACTGCCAGAAAAATTGTACGGGATAAAAAAAAATAAAAAAAACACAGGTAACCTCAGGATAAATACAGACTGCTTTGGAAAAGATGGTGTGGTTGTTTCAAGGAGCACAATACTTGAAAAAAAATTAGCTGCATGGTCGAGTTGCTAGAAAGAAGCCTTTACTGTGCCAATGCCACAAAAAAGCCCGGTTACAATATGCCCAACACCATCTTGATATGCCTCACAGCTTCTGGCACACTAATTTGGAGTGACAAGACCAAAATAGAGCTTTATGGTCACAACCATAAGTGCTACGTTTGGAGCGGGATCAACAAGGCTTATAGTGATAAGAATACCATCCCCACTGTGAAGCATTGTGGTGACTCACTGATGTTTTGGGGGTGGAGGGGATGTGAGCTCTAAAGGCTCTAAATCTTGTGAAAATTGATGGCAAGATGAATGCAGCATGGATGGCTGCGCATGGGACGCTCTTGGACTTTCCAGCATGACAATGACCCAAAGCACAAGGCCAAGTTGACCCTCCAGTTGTTACAGCAGGAAAATGTGAAGGTTCTGGAGTGGCCATCAAAGTCTCCTGACCTTAATTTCATCAAGCCACTCTGGGGAGAACTCAAACATGAGGTTCATGCAAGACTTTGCATGACCTGGAGGCATTTTGCCAAGACGAATGGGCAGCTCTAGCAAGAATTAGGGGCCTCATATACAACTATTACAAAAGACTGCACGCTGTCATTGATGCTAAGGGAACAATACACAGTATTAAAGAACTAGTGGTATGCAGACATTTGACCTGGGGTTATTTCATTTTTTTCTTTGTTGTCATGCTTTGTTTTATGATTGTGCTATTGTTATAACCTACAGGAATATGAACCCCATAAGAAATAAAAGAAATGCGTTTTGCCTGCTCATTCATGTTTTCTTTAAAAATGGTACATATATTACAAAATTTTCCAAGGATATGCAAACTTTTGAGCACAACTGTGACCTTTTCATTCAAACTGATATGTGAACAGTGCTGGCTAGGACAATGACATATATTGTACCATTCATGTATGACCAAGAGATGTTTCTGTGAACATGTCTTAAAAAAATATATTCCGATGTCCATTGTGTGACAATATTGCTTGGCTCCATAATAGCTTGATAATAGAATATCATCAACAGATTTATTTTTGGAAACCCTATCAATTATATCACAGTTCAGTTCTAATTTCTGAGTTATTTCTAAAAATGTTTATGGATAATGTGTTAAAGTATTGGTTCTGCATGATTTGATGCCCGGAAATAATGATAATGATTACAATTATAATGAATAAAAGCTCACAGTAAACAAAAATTGCTAAAGGAACACTATAACGCTATATAAATATATTTTTTTTACGTTAAAGTGTTCTTCAATATGGTTAGCATAGGCTAGTCTGTTTTAAAATAAACACAAAAAATACCACCATAAAACCTATTTGTAATTCAGTGATTTTTTTGGGGGGGGGGCGGTATTACCCGCTAAACAATTTTTTTCTCTTTCCCCTGCTTTTTTGTATTTGCATATATACTGACAATTGCAAAGAGATCCACGGCTATCTGCCACTGCTTCTGGAAGGATTATCACAGATACTTCTAAGTTGACAATTGTGGACTATAACCGTGTAGGGTGCATTTAATATTGATTCCATAGGTAGCGGAGTCTACATTTATTTATTTTCTTTATACAAGTGGGTTTTTATAGATTAAAGGTTTTTTCCTTCCGAGACTGCAGCCCCTAGTGGTGAATTGTTATTCAATTTATCCTTGTGTATTAAGTTTTAGGAGACACTTCTGGCCCTAGTGGATTAATTTGTTAGAGGGTTTACTCATATCCCTTTCTTTTACATGGTTTCAGATTGTGCCAAACAGAGTTTTTGTTTTGGATTATAAGACATAAAGCCTAGTTTTACAAGAATATTTTTATTTCCCACTTATTGGCACATCCATTTCCCAGTTTCTTTCTTTATTTCCCCATCTCTCTTAGCCAGCGCACCTTTCATTCATACAATTTTTGTAACACCTGATGATATAAATATATAACTGTAGGCTTATGTTGTTTCTCTTACCTCATTGTATAGTTCCCCCCATGTTTTGCTGTAATTGCAAAGACTTTAGTTTGGAGAAATCAAGACAAATCGCACTGTATTACATCTGCCTGGAGGAATGCAATTCTCCCAAGCACCACTTAAGCCTTCAAGACTGAACAAATCCAAGCCTGCAATCCAAAGATCGAGCTATCAGCTGCTCATTACAGAGACCTCTTTGTACCTCCCAACACTCAACAGATATTAGACAATGGAGAGCTAGTTCTCTAGAATTCCTCTTCAATCGTTCTTAATACAGTATATTTATTTCTCATAACCTTGCCTGTAGCAGGTAATAACAGTTAATCTGTTTAATGCTTTATGTGCTTACAAATAAGGGAGAACAATAACACTCCTAGTGCAGAGGAGACATGGATATCATGCACACATATCCCCATCGGTTGGGATGCTCAGCCCTTCCACCTTGACAGGTTTTACTCTGAAACACCTATTCCCAGTAGAGCGCATACGGACACTGCTAGAAATGAACTGGAAGGGAAGAGTACAATGCAGCTTAACAAGCAGGTTAAGTAAACAAAAATGATAGATTTGACCAAGATGGCCATTTCCAAAAGAAGTGTTGGGTCAGGACAATGCAGCAAACGCCATAATAAATGGCAATAATAAAAATAATGCGCTGACCTCCAGTTGTGTGTAGTGTTGAACCCAGCTCCCCAGTGTGTGACTAAGTGCAGGAAATAAGCTTGGCTGAATAGGCTGCAACGAAAGCAGCCAGAGGAGGAGGACAGGGAATGAAGGCTAGTAAGCAATATGAAGTTATTAACATTAAGGAGAAGCCTTATTTAATAACATTAAAAAGAAGTCTTTGGTGTATTCTCAGGCACCAAAGTCATATTTTGCCTGAGACCAGACTGGCAGTTCCACTCATCACAGTGATTCGCCAGCAGTACCTCTCACTATGTTGCATTTACAAGGCCTATTTTCCCCAACGAGAAACTATAAAACTTCCTTTTTGTGGTGCCATTGGAGGCATCATGAGAGCTACTTTTATTCACATACATTTAAAAATCAGGCATCTTGGAGAAAAAGTGAGTGAGGATAGCATGAATAAGACAAAGCTGTTTGATAGTTCTATGACCGAGGATGAAGTAAAACCCATGAATTATTGAAGCAATCACTAGGTACACCGACAATAACTGTGATGATAATTTGGCACGTGTGAAAATTACAACATAGGGTAATTTTATAGCAAGGAACACACAAAAATAATAGAATTAAAAATATTATAAAATGCTGCATTCTTTGGACCTTCCTAGAAATATTACTAGGTGTTTAAATGGCACTGAATGTCTGAATTTTAAGTTCAGTTTTTGAAACTATTTAACAAACATTGTATTTCTTGCTGACACTCATCCAAGTGGCTTTACTGCTTGTCTGTCTATCAAGTAGGATTAATGATATATAGCATGCCGCGGTGGCCGCCGGCCACGTTACCGGCGCTAGGGAGCACTTACTTGTAGATTAGCGCCTGGTAGAACGTCGGTCCGCCATCCACCACAGCCTGCTAAGTCAGGACCCCTCTCCCAGTCAAGCACCGCAGCAGCGCAAGGGCGCATCATTCACTTGCTCCCGCCCCTTGCCCTGTACATGGGGACATGGGGGCAGCAGAATAACAGGAAATGGGGCACCAGCAGCAATTAAGAAGACAGGAATGAAGAGCAAAGTGCAATGAAGGTAAGAGAGAAAGCACAGTGTGTTTCATAGAATGTGTGACAGTATGTTTCAGTCAGTATGTTTGTGTATGTCAGTCTGGTTGGATCTGTGTGTATGTGTATGCATGGGTATGGGTGGGTCAGTGTGTGTGTGTGTGTGTGTGTGTGTGTGTGTGTGTGTGTCTTTATGAGTCAGAGTGTGTGTGTGTCTTTACGAGTCAGAGTGTGTGTGTGTCTTTATGAGTCAGAGTGTGTGTGTGTCTTTATGAGTCAGAGTGTGTCTCTCTTTATGGGGGTCAGTGTGAGCGTATGTGTATGGGTCAGTGTGTGTATTGATCAGTGTATGTAAGTCTGCATGAGTGGGTGGAATGAATGAAGCAGCAGAAGTCCTTGCACCGGCCCTGTATGTATTAGGGATAGATTTATTTTTAGGGAGATAGAGGAGTCTCTCTACTTGCTGCATACAGCTGCTGTATACAGTAACTGTTTGTAGGCAGTGGACGGATGACTGTCAGCTTTCCAGTAGGCTGATATACTTACAGACTGTAAGAAAGCACAGATAAAAGGCTCTATCTGCTGGATACTGACAGATGCCACCAGACTGTCAGTTACGGTCAGCAATAACCACTGCCACATGCAGTAGCTTCCTGACATCGGACAGAAATACAACAGGAAGTGAGCAGTTGCTTTGTATGAGCAGCAGGGAGCTGCTGTGAGGGGTTAACTTTGGGATAGGGCACATGCACACCAAGCTGTATATTTTAAACATCAGAAGGGGACTTTCTGGGCCTGTAGACTTCAAATCAGATCTGAAGCATGACTCTCTGACCACACTGCGTTGAGACTGATACTTATCTAATGCAATAAATAGCTGAAATTGACATAGCAATACACCTTTTCATCCGTAGAGCCACAAAAACCTGAAGTTATACATAAATTAGCGGTCAGTTGAATAACATATTGTTGGCCTTGCCAGTCTGATCAAACCATCAAAATAAAGTGCATGAGACTCACCCAACGTCTATTAAGGGCACCTTCTCTCGCTCACGTTTATAACAGATGTACAGCTCTGGACTCTTAAGGCTTCCGTGGTTGAGATTCGCTTGGAGGCCACTTTGTGTGAGCTCAATACATGTATAGCCCTCTGGTACAGTCTCTCCTAATGTCCTATTGATGATGGCAATGTCAGTAATAGGAGCCTTGGGGCCCACGATCTTGGTTTCCATTCGAGCTATGTCGTGGTCCAGAAGTTTGGATGTGTCAGTGAGTCCAGCCACCACAAAATAGTCAGCAACTCTATGTCCTTTGTCTTCCATCATTTTTGCAAAAGGCCGCCTAAAAGACAAACAATACAAATGTGAATTTACCAACAATTCCATAAATTAGTGCGAACTATGACAACACTGAATTTGTTACATTCAACATAGCAAAAAATTATATCACTGGTAAATATTAAAGGTACACTATAGTCACCAGAACAACTGCAGCTTATTGAATTTGTTCTGGTGAGTAGAATCATTACCGTCAGGCTTTTTGCTGTAAATGCAAACATTACAGCCTAGTGATAACTTCAATGGCCACTCCTCAGATGGCTGTTAGAAATCCTTCCTGGGTCATGGCTGCCTAAAATGAATCCAAACATTTAGTGTCTCCACCCTCTGCATGCAGACACTGAACGTTCCTCATAGAGATGCATTGATTCAATTCATCTCTATGAGGAGATGCTGATTGGCCAGGGTTGTGTTTGAATTGTGCTGGCTCTGCCCCTGATCTGCCTCTTTGTCAGTCTCAGCCAATCCTATGGGGAAGCATTGTGATTGGATCAGGCCACCACTTCTGATGAAGTCAGCAGGCAGGTCGTAGGAAGCCGTGACAAAGCAATCAACTCCAGACTTGAATACAAGTAAGATGTTACTATATTTAGGGAGGCATGAGGGGATCAGGGGGGCTAGATGGTGGTTTTAACCCTATAGGGTCAGGAATACATGTTTGTGTTCCTGACCCTATAGTGCTCCCTTAAGAGTATATCATATATACAATATTTTCTCCCAATATCTTTCTTTGTCTGTTACTAAATGTTTGCATACAATAAAAAAAATGTTTAAAAAATTAAAAATACCACATCACTTAAAGCTAGTAACCATTCTCACAAATGTGTACGAACGCAGTTTAAACAATTGTATTCTTTACAATCAAACACTGTATCTTTTAAGCAGGGGATCAACGATATACAGTGATTTAAAAGGAATATGTCCACCTCGATAAAAGTTCAGTCTGAGCCTTGGAGCATCAGGAATGATTAGTTTCTACATGGAGACAGTATGAAATAAATCTAACAGGCTTTAATGTGGTGACAACTGTCTGCATATTTTCCCATTTCTATAAGCTTGGCAGTGCAGTCCCTTCTCCAGTAGATGAATAGCAGAGGTTACTGCAGGACAAAAAGCTGCATTATTCAGGCTGTTGAAGAATGGATCTCTAAGACATTGCAGAGCTAAGCTGGAGCAACAGGGCAGGTACGTGAAGAGATTGGGGGCCGGAAACAGCACAAAAAGCTACATAATTAGTGCCTTCAACATGCGGCATTACAACAAACATTAAAGATGAATTGTGTAAATTACCATACTAAGAAATCATATGCCCGATCACAAGTGAAAACAGTTATTTAACCCCTTAAGGACCAAACTTCTGGAATAAAAGGGAATCATGACATGTCACACATGTCGTGTGTCCTTAAGGGGTTAAAAGAATCTTCAGAGTAATGTGTTTTTTTTTATATATTTTTTTCCCATTGAAATATAATTCTTAACTAGCTGATAGCTACAACAATGAACTTCCATGATACTCGGTAATGACATAGCATAATTAGTTTATACACAAATTAAAATATGAATTAACTATTGCCTTTATTAGCCAGGAAATGTTACCATGGAGAGGGTTAAGACCTTGTTGTTAACGTCAGTCCAAGCCGACAAATATCAGAAAAGCACAATGTAAAACAAGTCTGCGTTTTAGCCAAACTAATAATAATAAGGCATGGCCTGTCCACTACCCTGGTTACACCGATATTAAAAGTGACCTGGCACATTCAAGAGTATTCGTTGTACTATATAACATGTCCTTGATTGACTGAACCAGAGTTTTAACTAGCATTAGTTAAACTTTGGACAGAAATGGATGTGTTACTTGGGTCTACAGACCAAATTAAGATAGTAAAATATTTCATTAAAGGAACATTCCACTGGCAAATATATATATATTTTTTTTAAAATCACTTTTTAGTAGACATATCCCCAGTGAAAACATGCATGCATTTAATGCTGCAGTTCTTCTCTTCGCTAAAGCCTTTGCAAGTTCTCCTTTTTTCCTCAGGACAGACTTCTAGTCTGTGCCAGGGAAATGACCAGAGACTTGTCATTTAGAATCCTCTTAGACTGAGCCACAAGCTTGACCGCTCGTGCGGTTTTCCAATTTATAGACTTTTCATTGAGTCACAGTACAAGAATAATGCAGGGATAAAATAAGGTCTGTGGATGTGCATGCACGCTCATAGGGACACTGTGCCTGGGTGGATAAGCACACCTGACACTTCCATTAGCCAGGTAGGCTTTTTGGCAGTTATTTATAAAAGTGCCAGATTTTAAATAGTAATATTAATAGAAATTGTTGCTTTTATAAACTGCAATTAAAATGAGAATATACTGACACATAAAGCACACATGCCAGACACATAAAGCTGAAGTGCTTTATGTATTTGGAGTGTTCCTCTAGGCACCAAAACAACTACTTAATTGAGTAGTCTTGACATATAGATCATGCCCCTGCAGTCTCACTGCTCAATTATCTACCATTTAGGCGTTAAATCACTTTGTTTATGCAGTGATTGCCACAACTCCTCTGGCTATGACTCTCACAGCCTCAATGAGAAAAAGGTTTCATTTTTCAACACAGTGTGTTTATTTTAGAAGTTTTTTCCTGCTGTTAATTACCTTTAATCACACACAAAGGAAGCTAGAGGCCCTATCAGGCAATTAACAGTGCATGAGATAAGAAATTCTAAATTAAGCAAAATGTGCAATAAAGGACATTAAGAAATTCAGGTATTTTTCAATAAGTATGTACTGAGACTTTGTGAATAACAGCCACGCGAGGTATCACATATTTATCGAACTCCTAAATGGCAGATAACTGGGCAGTTAGACTGCAGAGGTATGATTAATAAACTAAAACTACTTTGTGCTTAGTGTCACTTTAAAGGGGCATTCTTATCACCATAACCACTACATTCTGCTGTAGTAAATATAGTGCTCATAAACTATTAGGCAGAGTCTCCCAGATCTGGATCAAATAGTTTTCAAGTTTTCACATTAGCAATATCAGTTTGATCTATATTTGGGAAGGATTGATGAGCTACTTTATTTAAAGGAGGTTCCAAAACTCAAGAGGAAATTCATCTCTCATATCTTTCTGTCAAACTGTTTTTGAGAAGATAGGCACACACTTGGCTCTCTTTAGCACCTAAAGCCCAGACCCTAAGACATGGAAGTGTAGCTTCTGCATTCTAAGTTTCAAACTGTCCTCCAATTGCAATGACAGGATGTGCATGCAGAATGTGGGTTAGTCCACTTGACAAAAAAAAACTGCACACATTGTCTCTTTAAGAGTACACATACAACATCTAGAGATTGATTTTTCTAGGTGGTTCCTTTTTTTTTATTAATCTGCACACATCAAAAAACAGAGCTAGCAGAACCCCACAAGCACTATCGAATATCACCAGGCACAATGGCAAAGTTCTCCAAGATAAAGAAGAAAACAGAAAGTAAATGTCAATGACCCACTCGCGTGGCCTGGGTAGGTCTACCTAGGTTATTCGAAACATACTCTGAATTTTTTCTACTCTCCCTTATCACAGAAGTTCTATGACAATTATCTAAATAGCATGCTATACAAGCATTCTATTATTTGGGGCCTAAAGTACTCTGTCCCTCTTTTCTAGGAGGTCCATATTTCTGGTGTAACCGAGTGTATCACAGAGCTGCATAGCAATAAAATTCACAGTACCGTGCCATTAAACTGCAATAAATGTGTTTAGACATCAGATTTTATAAATAAGATACATTGTTCTTGCTACAAATTACATTTACAGTTTGCGATCGAACAGCCACAGAAAGTCTGTGAAAGAAGGGGGGGCTTGCAGTCTACAGAACAGCCTCTTTTGCAAGCGGTTTTAGATATACACCAATGAAAATATGGATGCATTTAAAAAGGTGCTCCAGGCACCAGAACAACTTAAAAAAAAACTTGAACTGTTTAACCCAAAGTTGCCTCCAGTGGAGATGTCCTTTCCAGACAGCATACAGCTTCTGAATTTTCAGATTCAGGAACTACGGAGTGCTGCCGTTGCATACCTGAAAGTGCTCGGCTGACTGTCTCAGCCAATCAGTGACTCTCCATTCACAAAACTGACTTGGAATGAAAAGGACCTTGAAGATGTTCTGGTGCATGGATTGTCTCTTTAATTCTGATTTTATTTTAGTGGGAGTAGATCTACAAATGGGGGAGGGGTATATATAGGCAGTTTAGTATCCCTTTAAAGGAATACAACCATTTATACAAGAGATCTTTCAGTATCCATATGCAAAGATTCAAGGGAAACAGATAGTACGATGGCAAGAAAAAGTAGGTACACCCTTTACAAATTACTGCCTTTAGGTATATGTTGGTCTTAAAATCTGGTTTGATGTTCAACTAAGTTACAGTTCTCAACAAACACTTATTGTATTGTTCCTTTACATATTGAATCGATCTCATATATTAACAGTATACGTTGGGGGAAAAAGCATCTGAAAACCTAGGTTAAAAACTTCAACAAAAGCTAATTAGAATATGAAATACCGTAACTAAACCCGGTGTTTAATTAATGAAACGAGATCGGAAGTGGGGGTTACAGCTACATTGACTTTTTAGAGACACTCAAACATTTAAAGCTTACTATTTACAAAAAGCATCTGTTGATGTAAACCATACCTTGCAAAAAAAAAAAAAGAGCTCTCAGACACCTGCGATCAAGAATTGTTGTGTTGCATGAAGCTGGAAACGATTACAAAGTGATCTCAAACTGCTTAGATGTACACCTGTCCACTGTTAGACAAATGGTTTATAAATGCACACGATTTAGTACTGTGGCTAATCTCCCTAGAAGTGGCAAAGGGCACATCGCACAAATCTCAGTTGGGTAAAACGGAAGCCTAGAGTGACTCGAAGAAATCGTTGGAACTGGTTAACACCACTGTTTAGTATATTATATGGAAAGCATTGAACAGGCAGGACACAA